GCTTACAAACATAAAGGTGCCTGTATCTCCAAACTTTACAATGAAACATGGGGTTTTTATTAGAGCAATGGGCTCCGCTTGGCCAACAGCACCTTGTGTGAAAGTTTTACGTTCAATGTCGCAACTAGCCCAAAAAATATTTTTTTGGTCGTCGTCGTTGAAGAGGTCGACCCCCAGATCCAGTTTGGCTGGTAGCGACATTGCGAAATCTGGGATTGGCAAGCTTGATCGTGAAACTTTCACACAAGGTGCTGTTGGCCAAGCCGAGCCGATTGCTCTATCAAAGACCCCACGTTTCATTGTAAAGTTTGGAGATACAGGCACCTTTATGTTTGTAAGCGTGATGCTATATGACAAGTGGTCTTTGTTCATTGTGAAGTAGCTCGACCCTGACAGAGCCGAAGTGCAGAAGGGCGTGTTTGTGTAACCTAGCATATCATGCAACTCGAAAGGGTAATGCATGATTCTTTACGCTACTCATAACCTGCCAGCTAAGAGCCCATTGCTCCCATTCACCATTGTTTCCCAATACAATGCATACGAACGATCCTCCTGCTCCAGCCCAACACTTCCATCCTTCAACTTTCTTGAGCCGAGGGGATTTGACTGAAAAACGCTCAAACACAAAACATCATCCAATTTCACAAAAATCATTTCGCAAAGTTATTTGTAAACTGCCGGCTAGCAGCCCATTCCTCCCAATCACCTTTGTTGCCCAAAACAATGCATGTGAAAGATTGTCCTGCTCCAGCTCATCATGCCCATCATTCAACTTTGTTGATCCAAGGGGATTTGACTGAGCAACGGTCAAACAAAGAAATGGCATTCAACATCAGTTCAGCCTATTTTTAATTTCCTGTTCTTCCACTCCCAGCTTGCCTCTTCCTTCCCATTCCCAACTGTTGCCCCATTCAAGTACAACTACCACCTGCGAACGAAAGCATCATGTCAAGTCTACGATTGTCTTGTCTTGATCCCAATGTCACTGACTGAATGCGCAACTTCATGGGCGTTTACAACCCACTACTACAACACCCGCGTTTCTTGACACTTCACGTTCTCTTGTACACTCCTCTACCACAATCAAACGTTACAGCATTCATTCCAGCAATTGCTATCAGCAAGGTCTTTACTACATTGTCTCCAACAGCGTTCTTCACTTGCAGCAACCTATCGCACAGCTTTTTCACGTGAGCAGCAGATAATCATTGCATAGAAGCAGCATTATTTACGTACAGCAACTTGATCTAATACATACGGATTCCTCTGGATGATGCCGTAGCAGCTATCAAGCACACCACACTACCAGTAATCATCACCTGGTTGGGCTGTGATGGAAAACGACCAAGACAGAGGCAGACCAACAGCAGGATGGAAAAGGACGCGTATCAGCAGCGATCACATGATGGCACTTTCTTATTGGATTTGCAATGGTTGCAATGGTTATGGATGGAAGGATGGTATTGGTGTTCTCGAGACAATGTATGCAGCAGCTACTTTGCAATCATGGATTAAGGATGTTTATGACGGCAGCAACTACAAGCATACGATAACACAATGTCACCTTTGACTTCATGTGATCCACCCTCCGTATCTTCAACAATTTGCCCTTTATCCTATTTACTTCATAACATCCATGCTACCATGTCCCATTCTTCGACCTTTATTGAATGAACATTTGATTCAACATGATTAGAGTACAATTATCTCATGTGTGCGAGGGGTGCATTAGGTGGTTGGTTTCGGGATTGTTGATGAGTAGGTAGAAGGGAGTACCGGGTGATATGCATGCAACGGGATAGGAGAAAGAAAAAGCATGTAGAGCGTGATACATGGCATAAGGGCTATTATAGGTGATGCGACAAACATATGTGCAATTCACCTGAGACTCTTTGATGATGCTGTTTGAACATATTAATAGAGTAGGGCATGTGGTTTGAGTTCGCAAAGAGAAATGTCTTTATTGAGCAGCAATAGTGATCATGTCAGCAAAAGAATCAAGAAGTATAGCTTCACTTGGCTTTGAAGGGGACTTCCTCTGGTTTGACTTGGACTGCATTTCCGGATTGCCAACTATCAGCACCCGCATGAGGTTGATAGGGCTCAAAGTAATCCTTTCGTTCTTCCTTCTTTTTCTGGGTTGAGATGCCTTCGTCTCTTTCACGCTCCTCATCCAATTTAGGATCAAGCTGACCATCAGCAGTGAGTGCCATCATCAATTGAGCAGGTCCTACACAATAAAAAAACGAGTTGTTGGAAAGAGATGCACACATCATGTGCGATAATTTACTTACCATAGGGTAGGTTATCGCCACGATCCACTTGCCAAGTATGCCAAGTCTTGCCATATGTCTTTTGCAATGTGGCCAATGCCTGCTTTTCGGGCACTTGTACAACAGCTTCGGGTACACCCTTGGGCATGGGCATAGCTAAACTACCACCACGCACCTCGTAGTCATGAGAATGCCAATATTTTTTCTCATCGGCAGGCAAACCTATGTACGTAAAAAGAGCTTATGAGCATCATACAATACAATGATAGTAGCAATCCATCACATACCATCGAATAGCTTCTCCGAGATGATGTACTCGATACCGATCAGGCGAGCATCGGCTCTGGGTGAATCATAAATGATACATTGACGGAAGTCCTCATTGACACGAGTACACAAATGATGCGCATGCACTTGGCGTGTTTGGTCGTGAGCATAAAAATGGAACCCACAGACATGCTCGCAAATTCTGCTGATTTGATCAAAGTTTTGGCTGGCCGATGAGAACATGCCCTTAGCCTTGGAGCCCATTGTAAGCGGTTCACCAGGTGCGTCTGCCATTGTTGTTTTTTGAAATGATAAAAGAAGATAAAAGCCTTGCATGAATTGCTGTATACGCCATTTATATGAATGTCTTAGAGAGATCATCATCATGGTGACGACATGTGTATATGTTTGTTTGCTGTTACGTCAAAATGGCCAAAGACGCTCCATCAACGTTTGGTTGACGTACTTCAGTGAAGGTCACCATCCAAAGAATTCCAGTTGAAAACTTGTAACGACGATACCTGTAAGCGTCGCTTTGGATGCATGTGGGCTGTAGCTGCTGATTTCTTTGGACTCATGATGCCATACGCATACTTGATTTTTCCCATTGACACTGCATCTTCTCCTTGCTCGGGGAAAAAAGAACCCAAGGCTGAGGATCATTTGAACACAACAAAGGTGCCGTTGCATGCATTCATTTCGTTCATAGAGCGATGCAATATAAAAGAGCATCGTGTCCGCATCAATCCTGCTCCTGTGTGAATTGCTCTTATCATTTCTTATCATTTGTGAAGCTTTCACCAACGCCCGCGGCAATCAATTTGACCCTCGGCATATTCTCGGACACCCGGCGACATTGTGTGCTCGAATACTGTAGCCATCCGTAGCCAGTGCCAATGATACAAGGGACCATATTGTGAACCCTACACTATGTTTGTTGGTTGCTGTGTCTGAGCAAGGGTGTTTACTTGCTCTATTCTCTTTCTTGCAATGCCTCATATTGACGTTATTCCTTGCATTTATCAATATCAATTTTAGTATTGTTAACCACCTTCCCCCCTGCAATAAACATGTTTATTCTTCAGCTGTATTGATATCATGCTCTATTTAAAAGGTGCACGTGGTTGATGATTTCTAGTTTGTGTCGCTGTATAGTCAGCTGTACGGCGTATAATGACTCGCATGGTTAACCTTTATTATCCACTTCATTTGGTATTATCAGCAATTGGCAAGCATAATAAGACATCTCGGTGTTCATATACGTTGGAAATCCAAAACAACCATTACAATGGTGGGTATTTATTGACTTGAAGGGCATGATGGACAAACAAATGTACAAATCTTGAAAGGATACAGTGTGCTGGACACTTACTCATAAATACAAACTTTGTAAAGAGAAGGAGATGAGCATTTTGAAAGGGATGACAACTTCAATTCATACCTTGGAGAGCTTGTTCATGAGAGCACAAGCGTACAATGGAAGGAGAGGGGTATGTTGTGTGGGGTTGTTCTTCTTTCTCGCTCCAATAAACAACTTGTCGATCACAAGAGAACACAATCCATTGCGCATTCACCACAAACCCACCAAATCAGTCGCTTACCTGAAAAAGTATATAATGAGAGCAAGACATGGCCCAATGGGTAGCGAGGGTTATAATCAAGTTTTGCGTTTCTTTGTTTTGCGTCTTCCATCATCCCGTCGTCGTCTTTTCCATTGTGGGTCAAGCGCTAATAGTAGACAAAGAGAGAAAATATGCATCTGAGTCAACGAGTGCTCCGCCCATACATCATTCATTATCCCCCCCACACTGTACGGAGTTGTACCTACCATCTTGTGATGCTTCACGTAAGGCAATGAGCACCGATAGCTTTTCTGATGTGTTCTTGTTGGCGCTGGAATCATATTGTTAGTCAACTTTCGATGACATCCAATACCCTTATTGGAGAAAAAGGGCGTATCCAAGGTAGTAACTTACTTGAGTTCCTTCATTGACAGCTCAATGCCTTCTGCATAATACTGTTTCAGCTGATCCGCCAGGTTTGCCGGGATACCTAGAAAGAACCCATCCAATCTCGATTAGCATCCGTTCCTTATTCCAGAAGAAATCATTGGATTCAAAGGTGATGCTTGCCTTGGTCAAAATCGGTTGTGCTTAATATGGTGTTTATCTCCCTTAGCACGAAGGCTATTCGCTTTTGAATGCGGTCGAATTCCATAAGGGCAATGCATATTTCTTTCCAAAGACGATGTTCTTCATTGGCATCTTCAAGTGTGGACCGAGACGATCGTGTGCGTTTGGGATCTGTCATATCGAGGAGGGGTGGAAGATAAAGGTGAGAAAGACGTGTGTATGCGTCAACCTTTACGTTGCTTCGTTCTTTTTGACGCCCTCTACTTGTGACTGAGCTATTAATGGTCCACCATGCATCCATCCCCCTTTTACATTATACCAAGCTGTATCTGTTTTACCTATCATATGCTAGAGAGACTGATGTATTTTAGGGCTATTGGTTAATAGAACGGGAGGTTGTATTATGCACTACCTGATGGCGACATCGTGCTTCTGTGCCCATTTTAAAATGACCACTTTTGATCTTGTATTCCTTTAATGTTGCTACGTTTTATCAAGTGTTGCAATAAACGGATGATCGATGGCTCTATCCCATTATTTCATGTCCTTCTTGTTAGTAGTGAATGTCATGGAAGATTTGGGCTTTTGCATCACATGTCGAAGAGTCATAAAATGCTACTAGAGTGCCGATCCAAATAGGCGAAAAGCCGTATCCCATCAACATACACAGACAATGATTCAATATCACTATGAGATATTTTTCTAATATTAGATGGATGTTCTTTACTATGGTCGACGATAATAGATGGCCATGAAAATCCATTTCAAGAGGTAACTAGCTAGGATGACAGCATTGGGGGATGATGCTACCAGAATCATGCAGCTGAATCACGCGCTTGAAACGAAGGTATTTGATGTCGGTGAACGAGTTCCCGTTATTCCCGCTCTTTCTGCTGCATTTTTACCTATTGCAATATGCCACCAAGGTTTGGAGGTGCACCTTTGTGCCAGCGCTGTGATAAAGGTATGCTTTTGCTTTCTTGTCGCAACACATTGCATGGGCATTGATCCGTTTTTCTTCTTTAGCTGTGTATATGGCTGAGCAGGTATGGGCTTCATTCGCCCCCTCATCAAGGAAGAAGGTGTATGTTTATTCATCGAATCTGCCATAGGTGATCGGCCCAGGTGGACCCTATCACCGTACTTGTTTGACGTGCATGGTATTGCTTTGGTTCTTTCTCGACATCCATCTATACAGTGGGGGCTGATATCCTCCTCCTTTAGGAATGCAATAAGCGACTCGACTCGACCAGCTTGACTGAACGCGACAATCAGGTAAATGAGCCATCATCGACGCCGTGATGTTTATTAATCTCATTATTGCATAGGCCTATTGCAGAGTGTGCTACAATCGAAAATGGGGACCAAAAGGATATGGATTTGGTAATTATGAAGTCGAAGGATGAAGACAAGAAGTGGTATCTAATATTCATGGAACAGCTTCGGGTGCTTCGTTCTTGAGTACTGAAAGTAAAACACCCAAGGAGATCATGGAAGAACAACAGCAACAGGATCAAACGATGATGGGTCAATCTCAGCAGCTCCCACCTCAACGTACCCCAACACCACCGTCATCATCCTCACCACAACTTCCTCCAAGGCCAACTAATAAGCCTGAATCACCTTCTTCTTCATCATCATTATCATCATCGACTCCTGGTGTACCGCTAAGTTCATTCTGGTCTTCTCGTCCAACACCACCACCACCACCATCTTCATCCACGACACCTGCAACTCGTGACATTGGTCCCAGCCCTGCTGTCCCAACAAGTACCAAACCTGCCACACCACCAAGACCTGCTGTTGCTTCTAAACCAGCCTATCTCAACACAAGTTACGTGCCTAAAAAGGTCAACATTGCTGTCCAAAATGATACATGCACAAAATGCGGAAAAGCTGTATATGCAGCAGAGTTGGTAAGCAAGAGCAGGATATCAAATTGGAAAAGAGGATGAATCTCAATGAGTGTGTGTGTGCACAGGCACTTGGGGCTGGAAACAAGTACCACAAGCTTTGTTTGAAATGCATCGAATGCGGCAAGTTGTTGAGCTCGACCAATATGGTGGACAAGGATTTTGATCTCTATTGCCGTAGTTGCTATACCAAGCTTCACGGTCCAAAGGTAAATTTCAGCACTGTGATATACAATAGGGTCATCAACTCATCATCATCACAATTATACTTTAGGGTTGGAAGCCGTTTATTTCCTAAGTGTTGCTATATGATAGATGTTTATATACTTGATGCAGGATACAATGACTTGACATGCATAAAAAACTATTGAATAACATTCTTGATGGGGAAAATGGATACGTATATGAAAAGGCAGAACGTGTCAAATTGCTTTGGTTGCACAATCTCTGATGATGCTAAACCACCACCATCACCACAATGATTGATAATTGGATGCTGTCGTATTCATTTACCCTGTCAACACTCCAGATTTAGAAAATTGTTTACGCAATTTGGTTGTCTATTGCTTACTACGCAAGCGTGCTGATCCCGACATTTTGAGTCAAATGAGTTCCGGGTAAAGCACTGTGCAACATGTCATTTCAATGCCAACAAAAGAAATTCCAATACGTGGAGATGGCAGATGTGATTATCAATCATACGCCTCTCTGTAGTTGTTATTGAGCGCCACTATAACAAAAGCAGCAAGTAGAGTGCCTCATGCAAAATTGGCATTTGGTAGTGATAGTGTTATTGATGGCAACAACAACAGCTGATGATATGTGTATCGACCCCTTCTTTATAAGCGTAGTATAGTAGCTACTACATTTATTGGATAACATCTTACTCATATGAATCAATACACTATATACTTGTTTGTTGAATAAAGGGTAAGAGGGAGGTGGGGGTGGGTATTTAGGATAAGGAGCAATAGCCGTAAGCATGAAAGCTGAGTATATGCAACCATGGAATCCGAGACAATCCGTAATGAAGCTGTGTGACGTTGACGACCCAGTTCTTTGTTCTCTTTACCTCTTTTCTTTCATACGCACTCTTCCACAACAGCAATGGACAACGATCACTCGACCGACGATGGCTCTGAACCGAAACGAAAACGCTTAGCACAAGCATGCGACTCATGTCGAAGAAAGAAGGTGTGCAAAAGTTTACTTTTGAATGCTTGACCCCATGACAACCCGACTAAAGAGGCATTTTCGTTATTGCAAGGTTAAATGTGATGGCACTCGACCTGTGTGTGGCACATGCAGCAAAATGGGAAGGACGTGTACATACAACCCTGTTGTTCAGAAGCGTGGACCGCGACAAGGATACATCGAGATTATCGAGAAGCGTCTAGACAAGATGGAACGGTTACTTTCTCAGCATCATCAACAGCAGCAGCAGCATAGCACGGACCATCATCATCATCATCATCATCCACAATCACCCATGAGTGAAAAGAGTAGTCTACAACATACCAATCATGATCGATCTACATCATCCGGTTCATTCCCATCACCATCCCTTGGAACGACTCCCAATAATGCTGCTACCATCATGCCTTTATCATCATCACCTTCATCCAACATTCAACCACCACAACAATCCACCCTCCCAGAATCAATACTGCCGCCTTCCGATGTAATCGATCATCTTGTCAAAGTCTTTTTCAATTGCATCACCAATTATGTGGGTATCTTCAACGAAGAATCATTACTACGAGATATTCGTGAACGTCGTTGCTCCGATTTCTTGATCTTATCCATTCTGTCTGTTGCTGCAAGGTATGATTCTCTCCCTCTCTCTCTATTCATATTGACCTCATGATATCACTTATCAGGTATTCGGATCGCCCTGATATCTGTGAAGAACCGCCTTGGCATTCAGGAGAAAAGTATGCTTGCAAAGCACGTTCAATCCTCTTTTCGTCCATCGATATACCAAGTCTCAGCAATGTGCAAGCATTAATACTATTGACAATGCACGAATACAGCTGTGCAAGAGGTCCAAGGTATACTTTAGTCACCGTTTCCTTGTTTACAATTGAAAGATTGATTGAGAATTCATGTCTGTTGTAGGAGTTGGATGTATTCTGGTATGGCTGTCAGGTAACTATCATGGCAACAAAAGTGATAGGAATACTAAGTGTTCTATCTTTATTAGAATGGCCTTGGAATTGGGGTTGAATAAGGACATTGATCTGAAAGAGAATGGAAAAAGAACCATGTCAGTGGATCGATGGATTGAGATTGAAGTACAACGCCGAGTATTCTGGGCGGTGTTTACATTAGACAAGTAAGAGCACACAACCTTTATTATGCAGCTGAAAAACTCACGCACAGACATTAAAGATTGCTAAGTGCATCCACGGGTCGACCCTCCATTCTACAAGAAGATGATTGTGAGACTTTATTACCCTGCGACAAATATGAGCAATGCACTGGTGAAATCTACACTGAATCCATTTACAAGGAGAGATCGGTCCTTTTTACCGTGCGACGGCTCCCAGAAAACAGCAACATGCTTGAAGTCGTAACGACATTGAACCCAACATCACCCGACAATACCAAGAAGCGACGACTCAGCTGTATAGCGTACATGCATCGAATGTCATCATTACTCGGCAAAGTTACAGCTCACGTCAATCGTAAGAGCCGCCAAGGCACGCTTTTGAGCTTGAATGGACCACCTCCTGAAACGATGGAGCTTGATCAAGAAATTGAAAAGTGGGATAAGGAATTACCACCAGAGCTACAAGATACGCATGGGAATGATAAACGCTTTAAAGAAGGACAACTATCAGATGGCCCACGCTATATCTTGGTAATGTTTGTTTTTGACGATCAAACGCATTTTCACTCATTGTATCCTATATGTATAGCTTCATATGTCGCACCATTCTCTGATTGTTCTATTACATCGTCCTTCGTTGGCAGTGATGGATTCGTTAAAAGATCATCCAGTATCAAGTCATGTGAAGGATATCATTACACGCAACGCATCAAAGTGTCTCGCAGCCGTGGATCGTGTTACAGACCTATTGAGAAGAATCAAGAATGATCGAGCCATGATTTCTCCCTTTGTATCATACCTGACATATACAGTGGCAACAATCACAGTCAATACCGTATTCAATGGCACACCTGAAGAATCCAGCAAGGCGAGAGCAGCACTTGCAGATCATTTTGCAGTACTTCAGGTAAGTAAAGTATCAAATTTGACTCAAAAGGCTAGTCTTATTAATGGGTGGTTTCAGATCATGCGCACACATTGGGCTATGGCGGATAAGCTCTATTTCATGATCCGTGATCTATACGCCATGCATAGCAGCCATAAAATGTTACAACGCAACGCATCAACATCCTCAGGGCGTGACCAATGGCAACAGCAGCGACAACAACAAGCACCTTCCCAGCAATTAATGAACAATGGTAGTTGTGGATCAATGATGATGGGAGCCGCTTCTCCAAATAGCAGTTGGCCAGCAGTATCTCACACAAGAACAACGGCAGGACCTGATTTGGAAATACAGCAACATGCCATAGGATACCCAGCTACTACAACAACAGCTACAACAACATCATCATCAGCACCTATACAAGTATCAACATCGTCGATGGAAGGTAATACAGCACCCGTAGCAGCATCATCATCATCATCAATCCGAGGCATGTCATTAGCGGACTTGTCATTATCCAGCTGTGATGGTGCATCATGTACTGATTGGATTGTGGGCGACAATAGTAAATACCTTGCAGCTGCCCTTCAATCACTCGGCCGTACATCATCTACAGAGGACAACCTTATTGATATTGCCAACATGGCTCCTCCTTTTGTACCAGCTGCAGATACACAATGGCCATTTGATTTCGGCAACAACGCTTCGATGCCCCCAAATAGCCGACCTAGTTGATCAACTAGACAGCCCAATACTATTACAACAAATACAATTTGCTTTTGTTTCATCACTACTACTACTACTACTACTTTATTGGGTCCCTCATCGGTTTCATTTCAATACGTGCTATATCAAATCAATCGATATAGGGCAAGTGAACGGATTAAGGAAAGGCTGAAAGACGCCACTTCATATACCACACGATTTGAGATTGGATCTTATGCTGTTGTTATGTGACACAGGCCGATCGGCTTGGCATATCCGTGCGTTGCGGTGTATGTGCATGTGATATACACGATGAGATATGGATAAAAAAGGAGAAACATATGCCGTGTCTATCGCCTTGGAAGGGATATATGATGATGGGGGTGGGAACAACAAGCCATTAGGGCAAAGTTTACAGCTTAACGAACCAAGAATGCTTGTTAATGGCATGCGTTGATGTCAATCTGAGTACAGCAAACGGAGCTCATTCCTTGTACAACTCGAGGGATACTTTTTCAAACGTATCCGCCGAAAGCGAAGACGTAATTGCTCGAACAATGGGATCAAGGCGGTTTTTAATAATTTAACCGTACTATTGTGCACACATCCAAGGACATGACACAGTATGTGGGATCAATCTGGGAAAGGTAACCTTTGATGCGGAGCCTGCAGCAATCGTTATATATCCCGTGCACATGCATTGTTATTGCCGCTGCAACAACAACAGCCTTGTTGATTGCCTTCTAGCACACGACACTATGTGTGTGTGTGGGAAAGAAGGGGAAAGAGAAAAAAGGAACTGCGATCAGGGATTGGCAAGAAGAGCGATATAAAGGCTTGGGGGAAGGAGGATGATGTGGTGAGGATTGACTCCTTAATGCAAACAACCTATTCTTTCGCTTACAGCAGGGAGGTGATAGACTATATATATACTCATCCAAGTCCCAAGACCATGCACATTCATCTTGTTCTTTCTTTTCTTTTCTTTTTTTCATCCCCTTCACTTTCCTTTTCCCTTCCCTTTCTTTCAAGCACGTTAACATACATACATATCATGGCAACACAACAACAGTCGAATTGCGTGGTAGAAGAATCATCATTGCTTAAACAGCACCAACAAAGCCTACGACGAGCATTTGAGAATTTGTCGGTATCCAACAATAATCATCAGCTCAAGCGGCAACAATCAGATCATCGGTTATCTGCCGGTGCTTCTTTTTCCTCTTCCACCACTACCAGCAACAACAATGCGCAACAATCGACAAAGAGAAAATACCTCACAGTGTGCCCACCACCATTAACATTGAAACCATCCATGAGCTCACCCACAGCAACGTCACCAGCAGCATGTTCACCAAGAGGATATTTTAGTAACAGCCCCATTGCCAGCCCCCGAACGCCGCGATTGGTATCTCCGCAGGAACGACCTTATTCACCGTATTGCAGCAGTGCCATGAATGTTTCCACATCGAGTCTTGCCAGCACGCTATCTTCAGCCAGCTCAGCACAGCAATCGACATCAGAAGGATACAGCACAAGTAGTTTGGAAGATGATGATCTCTCCTTGCCATCTACTCCTCCTGCAGCAACAACGACATCCCCCTGCTGGCCATGTAAGATTTAAAAAATCATCATCTCTTTTTGACCTAACATAATACAATAGCAAAGTTGGATGAACATGAAATCGAGCGTGAGCCCAAACCTGTTGAACGGTAAGTATTGACATTGTATGAGCCAAATGGCATGTTTTTAATATGCATGATTTTTGTAGACGAGATGCCTATGGATTCAAACAACCTACCCAATGGGTCAAGCTTGCTGAGCAACTTGAATTTGAACAAAGTTATCACCCGATTCTAGAACATCAACACGCCAAGTGGAAGTCGTTTTTGGAAGAGCATCAAGGTCAATGGCCCCCCGTCAGCTCAAAATGTAGGCTCTTTGTACTTGTAGCAAATCAAAAACTAAACCTTCTTTATAGTGAAAAGATACGTGCGAAAAGGAATACCACACGATCTTCGAGGCAAGGCAAGTGGATGAATACATAATGAGCACACGTAATCGCACATCTTTATCATTCCTAACGTAACGCTGTATATAGGCATGGATGCATTATAGTGGTGCCAAAGCCAAGATGGAAACCAATGCAGGGTTGTACCAATCATTGGTGAGAACAGCTGAAGCCATGGGCGAACACAATGAGTATGCAGAAATCATCAACAGAGGTAAGAGCGCTATACACAGCCTCCCATGACAATGACTAAAAAGGGATGTTTTGTCACACCCCTTAGATTTGCATCGCACATTCCCAGACAATGACCAGTTTGCATGTGCTGTTACAGCCGAAGATGGATCTGTATCCATGGTACCAGAAACAAATGCCAAATTACGAGCTTTACGCCGTGTACTTTTGGCGTTTAGCATGTATGCGCCCCATATTGGTTATTGTCAATCGCTCAATTACTTGGCTGGTTTCTTTCTTCTTTTTGTTCACGACGAGGAATCAGCATTTTGGATGCTCATTACTACCGTGCATGATTACTTTCCTGAAAACATGTATGATGTTACCATGGAAGGTGCTCACATCGATCAAACAGTATTGATGATGATGGTGTATGAGCGATTACCTGGTGTATGGAACAAGATCGGCAGCGGCAAATGCTTTTGGGAATGTGTTGAGTCTGACGGCTTACCCTCCATCACACTTGTCACCAGCCATTGGTTCCTCACGCAATTTATCAACATTCTACCTGTCGAGACCGTATTACGAGTATGGGATGCTCTTTATATGTAAGTCTTATTGGAATTACTACATCGAAACTAGGTTACTCATGTGGTTGTTTATATATCTAGTGAGGGAAGCAAAGTGCTATTTCGTGTTGCACTCACCATCATCAAGATGAATGAGAAGCGGATATGGGCATTGGATGACCCAATTGAGATCTTTCCTATTCTTCAAAATATGCCACGGCGTTTGGTGGATTGCCATGCATTTATGGATGCCGTATTTGCCAAAGATAGCGTAGGAGCCGATTTGACGACCGCAGAGATTGAACGACGGCGTGTGTTGTTTAGAGAACGACGTAAACAACAACGTGCAGCAGCAGCAGCTGCTGCTGCAGCAGAATCCAACAGCCCATCCTCTCAGCCATCCATGTCAAGTCCTGTATCCTCATCAACCACGAGTTCATTTTCCAGCTTCAAAAATCTGTATTTTGGAAGACGCTGAAAACATACACACATACACACATATCCACATCGAACCCATTTTTGTTTTGTAGAAAGCTACCCAATGTGTGTAGAGCGTATATGTCGCTGGTCGTCTATATGTAAGCTCGTTTTGCCCATATCCTCATTTTCTTGCACCCATCCCATTCCTCTGTACAAAAACCGACCACAAAAAAATCCACATAAATGAAGTGTGAACATGTTTGAATACGTATATTACGAATGCCACATCATGTTGGATATCCTTATATACTACATTTATGGTTTAGATAATCGGTTCCAGAAAAAGCCTAGTACTTGTTCCTTGAGCGCACCAAGTCCCAAATTATCTTGGCCATCTGTGTCAAAGTCTGTTGAACCAGGGAGAAGGAAGTCGAGTTGCGAGGGATTAGGATGTTCATCGTCCAACTTTCGCCAAACATTCAATACGTCATGAACATGTTGCACCGGACTCAATTCCAAAGCCATAGCTAATGCATCATATCGCCTTGGGTAATCGGTAAAGCTGTCTACTTTGCCAAGGTTGAAGCAAATTTGCCATGCACATTCGTATATTTCATCCATGTTGTAGCGTCGTCGTAAAGTCTGGTCGTCAGCAATTGCATGTACCTTGTCGACAGTATCGCGGCATAATGTGTATGCAGTATCATATTCCTCATCCACCAAAGCTGCACTTGCTAACATGGCCAATACCTTGACTTCAGCTGAAAGATCATCTTGATATCCCAATTTCCTTGCCAGGGCGACAACATCAGCTGGTTGCTTGTACACGCGTCGTCGTGTGTTGATGAGCTTGGATATCAGATTGAGTCGATTGGATGATTGTCGTACTTGGATTGGCATAAGCTCGATACCAGGTCGATCCATTACTTGGTATTCATAGATAAGTTTGTGTGTTGCTTCAATTAACTCGGTCTCCTCTGTGACAAGATCCGTAGGCGGTAAAATCTTCAAACTAAAGATTGCTATGAGTACAATGCTCTTGTTTACCAATAAAGATACATACCATTCCATCGCAAGTTTCATGTTGCCTGCATACATGTTACCCGAAGTGGCATTATCAAAGAATTCTTGCTGTGCCTCAATCACAAGCTGTTCAGCTCGTCCTATATCCAAGGTCTTGTCACGATTAGGTCCCACCATAAGATCCTTCGCAAGTCGAAAACCTAAACAAGCCTTTAATACCATACCACTGATCCTTTTCAAAAGAGAGAGATGTACTTACGACCACAGCGCAGTAAGGATGTAAAGAATGTCTCAAAGATATCAGTGCGACTTAAGCGTCCAAATACACCTTTGTTGTCCTCTTCCTTCAATGCCATCATGTCGTCCAATAGTTCTCTCCAATCATTGTCGCTGTCAAAATGCTTTCCACCAGTCTCCACACCACCCGCTGCTTGTGATGCCATTCGAATACAAAGTTGTTTTTGTGCTTCTACAGGCTGCTCCTTAAGGAACCATCGTAAAGGAACGCCTGAATGATATCGAGCAAGAACCTCTGCAGCACTCAAATGTAATTGTAGCGCATCCATCATTTGAGTCAAGTTGTGTGCGTTCACTGATTGCAATGCTGTGAATAAACCAAGAGGTGTTTCTGCCAAAGGAAGAAGCGTAGCCATGTCGGATATCCGGTTGTCATCATGCTGCTGTTGCTGTTTTCCATCCTCCTCTTGATCCATATCCCATGGGTCAAATACTGGTAAGCATTCAAAAAGTCGTACTTGCAAGTCGATAGGCGTATCATCATTTGAATAAAGCAATGCCAGGACTAATCTCGATAAATCCAAATCGTTTTGTACAATGCGTTCATCTGCTGGTAATGTTGGTTTGGATGCTTCCAATACGAGACAACACCAATCCAATCGTGTGCCGAGTAGCCATCGATATAGTAACATTTCAACGCCATCCTCTTCGATTTCTTCATCCTTAATCTCACGTTCACGACAAACTCGAAGCCAAGGTAGGATCAGTTGGCGCATATCATTCACAATGCTGGTATCATCGGTGTGATCAAGTAAACCATCAAGAACGTCATAAGATGGAATGGTTTTGAATTGCTCAAGGCATACAGCAGTCGCTGGTTCATCATTGTCCGGTTCGCATGTGTAAACGTATTTACATAACCAATCCAATTGAGCTTCTTGCTTTTCCAAATCCTTGATACCCATACGTCGTCCATGCCGAATCCATTCCAATGCTAGGCTGCATAAACCCATACGATCTGCTTGGATAGCTTTGCTCAAGTACCAATCACGAATCACTGCTGCTGGTGCTGGAAATTCACATCGTTCGAATCGTTTGCTGAGATCGGATAAAGGCGTGGTATGCTGCTCTGGACTCGTGATCATGGTGTCTTTCATATCCTCTTGTTGCCATGGTTCCTCTGTTGTTAACCATTTTTCATCCTCCATGTCGTTGCTATCCACACGAGGTAGATCAAATTGATTGGGATTGGCTGTTTCAGGAATCTCTGCAAGAATGGCAAGTCGATAGGGCCATACAATAGGTGCATGATGAACAAGTAAACATCGTAAAGCATGGCTGTTTTCTGCATGTGCATATTCCACGGCTTGAGCAACCAAGTTGGTATCACGAAAGGCTGCATACATTTGTCCAAACGATTGCTGTTGCTGCTGCAAACTCGGCCAAATCTCAATAAACGTTTCAAGCCGTTCGATATAGTCGTTCAATAACCATCGCGTTTGCTGCCATATTGAATCATCCTCATCCTTATTGGAAGCACGTGTCTTGCCCACTGTCAGAATGCGACGTTGTAAGCTCCAGTCATCTACTATCGTCTCGAGGCATTGATTCACTACCCAAGCGTCATCGTCAATGGACTGTAACAAGTCGACATTGTCAGGTTGTAGATTGCCGGATCGTTGCTGTTGTTGCCACTGTGCTTTGAATACTACATTGGTGTCAAGTGACAAGTCCTTTGCAATGTCGAGTGCTGCCTGATAATTTCCTTGCGTGAAATGGAATAGGAAATCCTTGTGAGTTGACTGGTCCATGAAGACTGCAGCGGCAAAGTAAGAGGGCTTCTTGGTGGATGCGGGAAGAAGAAGACGCGTTTCGGAGAGAGATCGCTTTGCCCATTATTGACACTGAAGATAAATGCATTTACAGTAGACACACTCACACTCACACACACCCATACACACAAAATGGATGTTCATGTGACAGGATATGTCATTGTCATTTTAACCCTTAATGCTGTTCCTTGAATGTTACACCTTCATAATGATGTATGAAAAGATCGATCCCTTTTGATCCTTTACATACAAGTTCACTTGACCATGCCCAATTGATTAGGAGATGAGGTGGGTGGGGATGGGGGAAAATGAAGTGAGAGACTTAGTTTCGGATATAAGGAACTTTCGATATGGTGGGTCATCATCATTCCTTACAAAGAACCAGGGGGTGATTGGATTGTTGAGAAACAAAGGAGTTGAGATCAGATAATGAACGACGAGGGCGTCTTTGTACTTCCGAGGAGTCAACTTGAATGACTATTAGCAAGAAGAAAGAACACCTGAATATAGGATCGACATGGTTCCAGGTATGACACATTTTACAGCAGACAACAGATGGTGTCACAGCAAGCAATTAAGCACGGTTGATGACGGCGACCTAAAATAGCACAACCACGTTGAAAGAAAGAGTGGAGAGCAAAACGAGCACATGCAGGTGGTCCGTGTTTGCAGTAGAAAAGTTATGACTCGTTCGGGCGACCACGGAAAGGTTTCCCCTTGGAAAAGCCGAGGAGCAAAACGATATTGGTTGCTCGTGCAGGAAAAGAAGCCATCACCCCCATTCCTATACATGTGCTCAAGTGCGAAAAAGAGATACGGCATTAGTCGGATACTGAAGCATAGCGCGTGCCAAGTACTCAATGCGGCATGGAATATAAAGGGAAAAACTGAATCCCGGCAACAGTATGTATCCATCATCCATAATCATGATCACCATGGCTACCATCACCTTGACGACAACAATAAAAGTGCTGTCAGGCGGAGTAGTCTTTGCAAAGACAACAAATTCATAAATCAAGCGAACAAAAGGGCGCTGTAATACAATGACAAACAAGAAGATGAAGAAAGCAAAAAGGAAAAGGATGAGCAATGAGATGTACGACCGTGCGGATGATATGCGACAATGGGTTTTTTTGCCCTGTGGAGTTGAAAAATAAAGGGCGAGCGACGACAAACCTTGTTTTGTTGGATTTCTTTCCCCTTTTCATAACTACTTCAACAACTACTACTACCAACCACCCCTCTCTGTGTGCGAATACCCTTGATTGATCCACTTTATAACCAACTCTCAGGCTTTTCTGTTATCAGTAAAGCATTCATACTCTACTTGTTACCAACCAACCAACCAACAACCAACAAAACAAATCCACCCTTCTCCACCTTTTTTTGTATAAATAACACAGCACAATGCTTGCTAGAGAACAACCGCCACCAAAGGCCATCAATATCATCCGGCCTTCGTCGCCTTTTTTGCACCACTTTAAACCACCACACCACCATCTCGCCTCGCATCATGACTCGTCGCAATCGTCATCGACAGCATCGTCGTCTTCTCCATCGACCTTGTCAACGTTATCGTCGTTTTCTTCAGTAGCAACTCCTCGTCCAACGGTGCTAGGTCCAGCCAATTTCTTATCACTTTACGCTCCTCAGCATAAACAACCACCCGGCTTTGCACAACGCCTTTTGCAGCGTGCCAAAAGCCATTCGAATCTTTCTAAACTCACCGTTTGCACTACCAACAACTTGGATGATTCGGAAGATGATAATGCAAGTGATCAAGACGATGACGACGATAGTATCGATGGCAACGACGACGATGATGATGCAGCACATTCGGAAAACCATCATCACCAGTCATCATCATCGGTAATTCCTTCGGATGATGATGATGATGATCATTATTCTCCAGCCAAAGTCGTTGCACGTATTAAGCATGGCACCATCATGAATGGCAAAGGCGAATTTGTATCCAAAGGAGACGATGAACATTCCGGATGGCTTGATGAAGCAAGAGCCAACCGCAAAGTATGTATGGAATGAAAAAAGTAAGAGAGACTCCCCATGTTGGGCGTTCATGCTTATAAATTATGTATAAACAGATTGCCGATCTTGAGATTGAAAAGTCATCGCTTTTGGCGGTCAACACAACACTTGAAGCTACTCTCAAACGACAAGCAGCAAGAATCGCTGAACTCGAGAAGCGTTTCGAAATGTAAGTAGTGGCATGATTTAGCAATCCTCTATGCTCACCCACATGTGATGGATATCAGGAACGATGCTCCTTTGACACCTGTATCAGATAAGCCTGATGATGAAGCAGCATCTGAAGAATTTGCCGAAAAACTTTCGGATGAGGAGGTCGAGAATGATGAAGTTTTTCAACGAATCCGCCAAACTATGCAAGGTCTTATTGAGCAAGCTGAAGCCGCTTTAATATTAAAGACCAAAGTCTCTGGACGTGTTCTTACGGATTATCAACCACCCAAGAATAATGTCAACAACAACAACAATGAGAATCATGATGAAGGAGGACGAGGTAATTAAATTCAGCTGAAAAAATACTCAGGTACCATGTTTCCTTTTTTGTTAATCCTTGCATTACAACTCATAGTGACCACGATTCGCAAGTTGGCTGCTCGTCGATCATGGTCACCACCATCCACCACTATGCAACAACAACAACAACCCACACCTATTATGAATCAAAGAAATCAACGACCATCAAGACGTGTTTCAGATAGCCATCAACCACCACCACCACAACAACGCGCTCGACCTGCTTCTTTTCATGGACAGCCACAACCGCGAGTAGCCATTCAACATACAAAAGCATCCATGGCACGTACCCTTTCCCGCTCGTCTTCACCAGCTGTGATGGTATCATCACCATCACCTCCTACGTCGCCTCGATCTTTTAGTCCATCGGCATCGCAACAGCGGCCATCACGTCCTCCAAGTCGAGCGTCTTCTTTAAGACGATCACAACAACAGGAGCAGCAGCAGCAGCAGCAGCAGCAGCAACAACAGCCAAGATGGCGTTAATGAATGCTCTTTTTTCTTTTTATGCACCCACCCTTATTTTTATATGCGGTGGTCGTTGTGTATATGCTCATACCTCTCTTTTACCCCCATCCTCTCATTGTGAATTTATAGCTTCATCCATCCCCTTCCTTTTTTTTCATGAAAAGTTTGTTATATACTCTTCTCTTCTCTCTCCCCCTCTTTTATCTCTTTCTCTCTCTCTCTCTCTTCCTCTCTCTCTTTTTTCCTGCAACATATATACTCAAACAACGCATGTGTCCACTTGTATCCCAAATAAACCTTACGGGTTGTGAAAGAAAGCTTATTGCATACTGGGTATTTCAACAGCCGAAACATCAAACTGAGAGCAGCCACACACATGTCCCGCTGCAATTCAAATAACAACAACACCCGAATTTGCTGCTTGTCTCTTTGTTCTCCCTGGTATAACACACACATACACATATATACACACATACAAATGCCGCTACCTTCCTCGATAGCAGATATTGCTCAAAAGTCAGTTGTTCTATTCCTTGCTGGAACTACAGGTATATAAAAAACACTTTATGGTTGTCGATTTCACACGATTAAACTTTGACATTGCAGTATATTATATGGTCAATGTCGGCTGCCTTGTCAATCGTCGTATGGAGCTCAAGAAGCAGGGTAAACTTGAAGAAGAACTGGTAAGAAGAAGAATTGGATGATCCAAAGTGTGTGAGTGTGTGTGTATGCTTACATTATGATGATAGGCGCGTTTGACGGGCACCTTCATGAAGAGTGATATGCAGGGTGCTCACGCAGAAACAGCCACCACACCTACGCCAATGCCTCCAACGGAACAACCCGGAAGAGATACAACCACTGGTGACGCATAGTTCACTAGCAATTGGATATTACCCAACTTATACATCATCACATACTTCATATATAACTCACACACACCACCTCTCTCAATCACGCTACATCTTGTTTCATACACTCACACACACATCTTGCTCCTGTTTTATGTACAACACACTTTTTTTTGAATCAATGAAAATGAAAATATATACACAATGCTACTCCTTATCGCTTGTTGGGGAATGCTTCTGCTTGCTCTGCTGCCTTGCGTTTACGCTCATTTAATCGACCTCGAAGAGCCATTCCAAATAGCTTAAAGCCTGCATCCTTGCCATGTGTATCGAAGAAGTCCTTGTATTCACCAGTAGCTATGATAAGACAAAGGATTAGTACACGTAGTAATCAATGTGAATGTGTTTGTTACCTTGTCCTCGAGGATTGAGCATAATCTCTTCTGGCAAATGACGCAAGGTGTCGGGCATTGATTGACGCACGGATCGATCCATTGTGAGACAAGCTTCGTATGCAGGATGTTGTCTAGTATGTGCTGGCATCGCTTCTAATTCTTTCGTCACTTTCAATGCACTGAACCATTCCTCTTGACTCTCGTAGTAATGCATAAGGGCAAGCTTTGCAATAGGGGATGGCGACTCTTTGCTATGCTTGAGAAATTGCTGGCATCGTTCTTTGGTATACTTGAAAGCTCCAAGCGTTTTGGCATCTTTGGCATCAAACTTCGCATCATCTATTTTTATCCACACAATTAGCTTCATCGTCTAAATAGATATACATGCAACTTACCTTGATACACCCTGTCAAGTATCCATTCTAGACAACGATGCTGCCAATCCATATTCTCCATTGATCCCTACAACATACATTTGTCAATAAACAGACCTGATAGTATCAATCCATTGACACCTGCATACCATGTATTCCAATGCTTCGGCAAGTGACTTATCCCACAATAACTCAACATAGGCCATGGCATCATTCAGCGACCTTTTGGCAATTCCCGTGGTTTGTACAAAGTTGGTAATGTCGCAATGCTTCTCCAGAGTCTTGAGGATCTTGTATTGCAAAGCATCACCCACCCACGCGGCATCCGAGATATACTCCATGGCATCCTATAAGCTGCAATTAGCATACAGAAGCACACATTCGTGAATTCCATGTAACCACTTGCCTTGTATGAACCTTGATCTAGCATGTGATACACCATGATCTTGATTCGCTCATGATCCGATACATTGTCAAGGGATGTCAACGTAGGACCACAATCCACATCTTCCAAAGAAGAAAGGTAGTACAAGGCCTGGCTAGCTTGAGTGCTGTTCTGTGTCAACTTGCCGAGGAGATCAGATGCGTTCTCTTTCAAGTAGGTATCATTGACTATGTCTAAAATGATATCAGTATCATGTATCCTCAATGACAACAGGCACTTACACTGGGGATCAACTTGCTTAAGTAATAGGTCAACAAAGAGGGTGTCATTCACTGCCTTTGGACGCCATTGGTTCAGCTTGTCAGCAAAGTGCTCCATCGAGGGATTCCGACCGACTCCAATGTCACTGAGAGCATCGGGTACAGTTGTTGTCTGCATCGAGAGCTGTTGATTGTCATCCAAGGCACCATTCATTTGAGACGAGTCGAAAGCTGGTGTTGATACAGTGGATTCAAGATGCTGAGTCATGTGACCCTCCAAAGCGTCCGACAAGAGTTTGATGTTGTTTTCAATTGCTGTATCACTCGCCAAAGGAAGGAAACCAGCAAACGAGCTATTCTCACCAGCCAAGGCTTGAACTTGCTCCTCGTCATAGTAATCATCCAAATCATCAAGGAACCCGGTGTTATCCATAGCATTATCCTCCTCCTCCTCTTCTATAGTCGTAGGCATTGTAGTTCCCTATTACCATTGTTCCATACATCAGGACATAGTTCCTTTGCGAGAGCTAGTAGTTGAATTTACCTCTTGGGTATAAATGGGTGTTTCAACCTCGTCAGCAGCTGGTGGATCAGGGATATCAACATTCTCATCGACCGATTCTAAGGCACTGGGTGTGGCATTCTACAATGCGATTTGATGATTGAGAATAACGCACTTGAATTATCTTTATTACTTACCGCTTCATTCATGCCATTGGCATCATTTGATTCTACTTGTGTCAGAGCTTGTGGTTCTTGAGAAATGCTCAAATCCTCCTTGTCCTGGGAAGCAGTCTACACGATCCATGTTAGGATATGATTGGTTTCCAAGAGCAGTGGCTGACCTCGTCGTGTATGGCCATGGATGGAAGGTCTTTTTGGTCTTGAGATGGTGGAATGTTGTCGGGAGTTATTAAAGGATTGTCATCCTGCCCAAGACGAGAAGAGAAATTAGAAACAAACCTCTCTCTCTCGGTAATCATGCCGCCAAACTCACCTGGTCATCAAGGGTATTTAAATCAGGGTATTTTGATTGTGTGCTTTGGCTCTCTTCAAACACGGTATAGGCCTATTACAACCAACACCGTTAATAGGAGCATTGTGACATTATGTGAATGTGCATACCTTTTCAGAGCTGATATCCTGTTTTCCATCAAGTGGCTGTATCGATTCGGATGGCACAATCTACTGATCTATTAGCGTCTTTGTATTCGTCCATTATAATAAACATACCCCATCACTCGCCGAATTGTCATAGCTTCGCTGCGGCTGCGGCTGCTGTTGTTGTGAGGCACCATTCATAACAATCCCAATCTCCTCAACAAGTGTCTGCAGTTGTTGTGGATCGTTTAGCGGTGGTGGTACGGTGCCAAGATCGTCCCCTTTTTTGTTCAAGGGTGCTGCTGCTAGCCCATTTTGCTGTTCATGATCCACATCAATTCGACTGGTATCTTTTTGTTGTTCTTGATTGACTTCAATTTCATCTTCACGTTGGATACTTTGCTGCTCTTGGCCAAACTCGGTAATTTGCTGGGTATGCTGTATGCTGTTGAGAAAGCTGTAAGCTGTACCTTGTAACTCAGGGACTCGTTCCGGTGATGATGTTAATGAACATTGCTCGTTGTCCTCATCTTCTTCCTCTGTATCGATATGTCGCACTACAATTGGCTGACGACGTGCCCTTGCTGCTGTTATCTTTTCTTCAAAGCTATTCTCCTCCTCCAATACATGATGATCGATATCACGGGTATCAGTAGTATCCTACATATGGGATATTAGTATTTGGGTTGCTGTATAGCATAGCTACCTACCTCATGTCGCCGTATGATAGGGAATCGTCTAGAATTGCTGATATTGTCTGGGCTGTATCCATAGCCATCCTTCAAAAAATGATTATGCATTAGGATAAAGTGTAAATCATGTCAAATTACACTTACAGTGTCGCTACCAGCATATCTGGAAATGGGGCTATGGGGACTGACAGCCTAAAATATGGGAATCGGATGAATGAATTATTCGCCTTGCATCAGCGATGCCAATAATCTTACCTCGCTCTCTGTGAAGGATAATTCAGATCGATCGTTTTTGATATCTGGTGTCTCTTCCTAAATTGTGAGTGTTAATAGCATGAATGCAACGACTCAAGAAACACATACTCTATTCGGGGATGCCATGTTGTCATGCTCAAGTTCTTTGGGTGTGAATGTGTTGTCATGTAGGTAATGCTGCGTATCGTTTTGCTGCTTTGGTTGTGGAACGTTGTTCATTATACGGATTCGATCATCATCCTGGTGACGTACAATCGATGTTATTAGCAATGTGGTTCCCTATCACCCTTTGTGAATCCTTTACCTGGCCAGCCATCATAGCTATACATCCTGATCCAAGCTGGAAGAGATCCTGTTACGTATCGTTTGTCAATGCCCATGCTGCCTTTGACATTATCAATCGACTTACCATTATGCCGGATCGACGTGGTTCTTTTACCTTGAACTCAAAGTTGCTACTCTCCAGCCTATATCCCACGTAGATGCAAAAGACTTCCAGGTCGTTGCTGTAGCGTTGTTCACGAAATGCTGCTGTAATCCTGAAATCCTTGTTGGGTCCTATAAATACCTTGTTAGCTGTTTGTCCATGTAAAACAGGAAAAAAAGTCTCACCCTGAGTAAGTCGTAATACATCCAAATCACATAGATGTTTTGTGAGTGAGGGCCGAACACGTAATCCAGACTTGCGACCATTGCCGAATGTTGCGAGGATATTGATCACACCTTGCTTTGTAGGTTTGGTAGAGTTGCTAATGGTATAAAATATCAATATGACGTACCCGGATCATCAACCCACCCTCCCATTCTCACCCTTTGCTCTTGAAGGCATGTTGTCCAACGGCTATTATAGTTCGTGTATCAGCACGCAAAGACGAGAGTAATACAATGGGTGCTAAATGACATGGGACGTTAATAAAAGAGAACAATGGATGTTTCCCCACCCAAACTTACAGGGTTCAAGTTCCATGAACCTTGTCTGGTCACTGCGTGATAGTTCCATCTCCCCAGCATCGGTCTTGGAAACACGAAACGCTATTACTTTGCCTTGGCTTGTACCAAGAAGTACTCGTGGACGGTTGTATCCAGTGCGATTATCTTCCATTCCTCCAACGATCATTGTTGATGCTGTAATATCCTCGTCATCCACAAGCGATGGATCGATGTATTCGTGAGTCTACGAGTAATAAAGTAAGATACAATCTTTTATGGTACATGATCCACAATACATACGTCGAACAAGATTTCATCTGGATAAAGTATCAAAAGACCAATGCATGTTGACCCATCGCTCAAGGTAAAGGCTATCGCATGGCTCCAATCTTCCTTTTCAGGCCGTTTGCTAGCTGAGTTCGTAGTATCCTTGCTGTTGATGGCTGGTGATTTGGGCATGCGCGAAGGTGTTTCTGTAATAGACACTGATGTGATCTTGCTGGTGAAATCGATTGGCAGCTCGATCCGCTTAGTTTGACGAGTCGAAACGTTGTACCAAAATGCGACATAATCATGCTCCTTTCCAGTGCTGCAAATGATGATCAAGATGGGCGTTTTATCCTTTTGCTGGCAATACACAACATGCTGGATGGTGGTCACCTGCAACCCAACACCATAATCAATCTCTGTACACACACTATTATCCTCTCCCCTTCTTACCAAGCCTTCTTCCAACGTCGATGCCTCAATTTCATGTCGAACATGGACTGTAGCGTTGTCATGAGCGATAGTCGTTTCCTCAATTTGCAATGAATGGTCGTTGTAACGGTAACTCAAGAGTGGAGCTTGTTTGTCGTTGTTGGTGGTTGTAGCATGGTCGATGCCAATGAAACCCCCTTTCTTTGCAGATGAGACGGGATTCATGCTTGTATCCAAGTTGAAGTAGATCGATGGGCGGTGTGTTCACGCGTATAACTTGTTCTGGGATCGAGTGCCGAGTAGAGTCGCAACAAGGTTCGGAAGAACAGTCTCGATGGATATGAGCGTGAGAACAAGTAAACGAAGAAAACCGGTAGACGGCTGTTGTTGAAAGACAATCAAGGCAAGAGAGAAAGAGACAAAGAGCGTAAGAAGGCTGCTACTACTGTAAGCGGGATAAGCGGGATTGTGACAGCCGTGTAACAATGGGTCCACTTTATGCAATTCCACCAACTTGTCAATCTCTTGTTTCAGATCCCATTCATTACAAGATCCCAACAAGCAACTTGCCCACCGATAAAAAGGTAATAAAAGGAAGATCCTCGTAAAGAATAGCATCCTCATCATCCATCTCTTTTTCTTTATCCTTTTGAAACATGAGCGATTCGATTACGGCAACATCAAAAAAGAAAAGCAGCCATCACTACGTTCTCGTCAGCTGTGTCGACACTTATGGCGGTCATGCGTTGGCGTACCATTTGGCAACTGAACTCCAACGACGACCAGGAATGCTCAAGAAACATTGGCGTGTGCGTGCTCTCTGCCATAGCCTTGAAGGATTGCAAGATCTCGTGGCCATGGATGTAGACTTGCAGGTACGTCCAATTCATTGTTGTATATACATAGCACTACGATTGGACTTGAATAACATAAAACATCCCTGTAGCAAGTTGATTACAAGAATCCAATGATCCTCAAGGCTCAAATGAAACACGTAAAGTGCGTGATTGTTGTTCCTGACCAAACGGAGTATCGGGTTGTCAATGCATGCAACATCATCGACGCTGCTTCTATGCATGGTGTTAAGCGTATGCAATTGGCTTCACTGTAGGTTACATTGCAGTATGACTCTATATCAAGATACGATGACTTAAACATTTTCACAACATTGTAGTGTCGGCTGTGATTATGCAGGTGAATCAACACCCATGGGCGGCTACAATACTATTGAAAGTCATTTACGCAATGTGTATGCTTATGGTCGCTGGTGTGTCTTTCGGTAAGTTTTGATATACACGAGTAATAGTAGTAGTAGTAGCATGATGATTGACCCCCATTTTATGTTGACAGAGTTCCAATGGTGCATCAACTCTTCTACTTTTGGTCACGCATGGTGACACAAGACAAGTGTGTGGGTATGCCGATATCTCCCGACACCGAGTTTACTGTGATTGATATCCAAGATGTATGCGATGCCATGGTGACCATGTTGCTGAGTCCAAGAAAGCAAGACGTTGACGTAGAAGAAGACCTGTTTGATATTCCAGATGCTGCCGTCAAGCGCATTTACGATTTGACCGGGACATGTCCTTACACAGGAGGTGCGGTTGCCTACAGGCTTAATGAAGCTCTTGGTGGTGAAGCTGGAGAAATCACTTTTCAAGAGCTTGATGAAGAAAGCTTTCGCCACTACCTTGAAAGCCTTAGTCAGCAACACCCACATGCACAAGATCCTCAAGGTCGCCGTGACCCTTTTCGACCTGATCCACGTCGTGTGCTAGTACCTGCAACGATTGATCTAATGATGGATTGTTTTCGCGTGGCTCGAGAGACGAAGCAAATGGGCATTGTCAAAGATGATGCTCGTAACCTTATTGGCCGTCAACCAAAGGATCTATCGCAATTTTTTATTGACAACCAAGACCAATTCAGAGGATGAGAAAATTGACTAGCTATGACGGAATAAAATGAATACTACTCTTCTTCAGCTTTGCTTGGCAAATATCAACATTAAGCGGTATTTGTAGCCACTATCACTGGTGGTGGATCATAGGGTGGGATATATACATCGGGATGTCCATGGTGGGGATGTTTATGATGCTTATTGTTGTAATCTTGTTGCTGATGATGATCGTCACAATGCTCGCAGTAATCTCCATAATCATCATGGCCACCACGGTAGTCTCCGCCATAGTGGTCGTGGTCGTTGTTGTTGTTCTTTTTCTCATCACCAGATGATTGATGATGGTAGGCAAAAACTGTTGACACCGCAACAATGGCCCACACGAGACAAATGATCGACAAGAAGCGCATAGGTAAAAACAAAGCGAGAAAGAAAAAACAAACTTGTGATTTCAATTCGACCGTGCTTTGTTGAAAAATGCCTTTATTTCACATGCTGCACATTGGCTGTTCGTTTGTATGGCATGAAAGTCGGAGATATTTTTGTGTCGATCAATTATGCATCATCCAGGGCAATGCAACATCCCCTTGATGGGTGTAATTTTTTGTTGCACCGCCAAGCTAAAACTACCATACAATCACCGCACGTCATTAGGTATAACATGGTTCACAGAAACTACTTTTCTACATACGTTCCTGCATCAAATGGTGTGAGCGGCATCTCACAACCTGATGGCAGCATCTTCAAAGTACTCGAGTACTACATACATGATGCTGTAATGCTAGCAATCACGACGGCCGAGATATATAAGGAAGACTAATTTTACTTTTAGCATATGCCTCTTATCAAGACCTGCAGTCTATAAGTAAAAGTACATATGCATGTCATCTTTTTACTGCAATGTGATTTCATTGTGGTGGTGATGTGGCCTAGATCATGCGCATAAAGGGTTCTTGTCTCTAGTGCATTCAAGCTAGGGTTCCAGGAGATCACTAGGACAAAACTTATGTAATAAAAAATGATCTTCAATGGCTTGAGTTTCTATCTATAGCGTGATCAATGGAGGAAATGAGGGAGATGGGATCATCATCGATGGGAAAAAAAAGCATCTAGGAGAGCGGGATGGGATTTATTAGATTGCATGACAAGCATTGTAACTCGGGGATCATGCAACTGCGTGCCGTCAAAACGATAGAGTTCTCGACTTATCCGTTTGCCGCAGTTTTCAATGTTGCACGGCCGATCTTGGATGCGATTCGCACATTATTTGATAGACGTTGCTTTTTTGCCTTTTTCGAGATAGACATCCATATTCTCACACAATATGAGCATAAAAGTGAGCGATTTAGGATCGACAGCATAAAAGCCGAGATGAGCGGAGCGTTTTTCACTTTTTTTCTCCTGCAGCATCATGTATTCCAATCGCATTACTCGACAGCTCACGGTCAACTTGGATCAACAGCACATCAATGTGCGTCCTGTAATCAAAGGTTGGTCAAAGATAGCAACACCACCACGCATACGCACATAGACTCATTTTTCCTTTTGGATGATTCATTCCTCTACAGGTGCTATCAAAGAAGCAGCCCACACACTGACATCAGCTTACAACAACGCATCAAGCAATAACAGCGTCCTTGTTGCCAATTCATGGCTATGTCACAGCAGCAGCAAGCATGATGAATTTTTATACGTGCTTTTCAAAAACATTGCGAATGCTGCTACGTTGGCTAGCCGTGATTACGCTATTCAAGTTGAAGGATGCTCAGGCGTTTTGGTGTGGAGCTTACAACGTAAAAGACCTATTCGGGCATGGATACCCCCATGTCTTGGTGGTACTTTGAGATTAGCACGTTTGGTTGGATGGACCTCTGCTCTCAAGAGCGCTATTCAATTTCAACCTTCATGTGCCAAGATGCGACGAAAACTTATGGCCGAGGACGAGGACTACATTACCATCCATTATGTTGGCGTACTACCTCATGAGAGGAACAAAGGATACGGCCGTGCTTTATTGCAACATGTACTTGATAAGGCGGATGCAGCTCATTATGCAGTGTATGCTGAAGTATCGGATGCATACAATGTCGCATTTTTCGAGAAAATGGGATTCATTGTCAGAGCCAATGTTGTGACCAACAACATCCCCGTGTTTCTAATGGTGCGAGAACCAGTCATTAGTCCTCAATCACCATCCCCTATACCCCTTATCATTAGCCCTGGTCGTCGAAGGAACTCGACATAGGCTACTACTGCCACTACCACTACAATGATGATACCAATGTAAATTATGAAAAAGTGAATGATTAAAGGAATAGCTGAACAATGTATACAACAACAACAACATGATGATCGGAACAATTTCATTGTTTGAAGGAAATAGATAGATGATGGCATACGACGTGGTGGATCAAAATAGTAATACTAATAGTTGTCCCGACATCAAAGGCAACACTCATTTCGCCATCTGGTTGGTTGATGGAATGTTTCGAGTTAAGAGAGAGCCGCATACCAATGCATTGTTGTTGTAGCTCATTGACCCACGTGGTGCGTTATCGGATTTGTTGAACCTTATTGTGTGGCTGTCAACACCTTTGTGTTCTAGACAAAAAGGCCCATTCTTCTTCATTACTGCTGCAGCTGCAGCTGCATCTTTAATCCGATACTACCAATTAAAGATAGTGACACTTGCATACTTTTCCACGTGATCTGGATGTTTATTTACCTTCATACACACATGTCAGCCATGCATTTGAGAGGTTAGCACTAGCAGAAAATTAGCGTCACAGGATTTGGCATGCGCGATCGCGCCAAAGTTAAAATTGCATAAATGCGGGTGTTTCACAAGAACCATTTTGAACAGCTCCTTCTGGCAGTTTTATTCAAGGTCGGTATAAACGTGACATACACAGTGTAAAGGTACAAGCTAATGTAGCTCATTTACAAAGCAATGGAATGGGACATTGGAGAGACCAGCTTGAATTCGAGCAATGTAAACCAACAACAGCAACAGCAACAACAACAACAGCCGCAGGCGCAGGAACAACAGCAGCGTCAGGTATGCTAATGATCAGCGAGGCACATGGTACAAGTCGTCTCAATAAGAGCTATATGGTATAGCAAACCAAGAACAACAAGTTGCAAACGATTCGACCGGTGACAATCAAGCAAGTTACAATGGCCACGGCGTACGAGGATGGAAGCGTTGTCTTTATAGATGAGAAGGAGATATCCACAGTAAGTGAGTCTTTTGCTCTCCTATCGCGATTGCATCTTAACATGAGACATCAAGATTACATTTATTGGAGTGATTCGATCCTGTGAAAACTCGTCCACTGGCTACACCTATATTATTGAAGATGGTACTGCGTCCATGCAAGTGCGTCAATGGGATACAGAAGGAGTAGAAGAAGCTCATCACGTGAACGCATTCAGGCAAGTAAAGTGGAGGAAGGGATGAATGATACCTATTCCATATCTAATACCATTTTATTAGAGAAGGGATGTATGTGCGAGTGTATGGTCGAATTCGTCGTTATGATGGCAAAACGAACTGCCTGGCTTTTGCTTTGAGAAGCATCACCGATTTCAACGAGCTCTCGTTCCACTCTATGGAGGCTATGTTGGCACACGCTTCGTCTCGTTCCCATAATGGCATACAAGATGACCGCATGGATAGCAGCTTCACCTCTGGTGTATCATACGAAGGAAGCAGCATGCAATTCAAGTTCTCCTCACGTCATGGTCCATTCTAAACAAGCATCAATGTCAAGACTACTACCCATTGTTATCTCCCACCACCCCCTAAATATGTTATGTATACTTGCTTTCAATGACGATTATGTACTCATTCATATAAAACCAATAACAGAATTGTGTTTATAATCTTGGAAGGGAATATTGAATAAGGGAAGCAAGAAAGGCAAGTGATTAAATGATGTCCACTTTTGTCATCAGGTGCAAAGATCCCCCATTTCATATCCAATGTCCGTGGATTCATTCTCATCATAGTATATGGATCATGTAGACATATGCACTCTCATTAAAACATGGCATTTATCATCATGCAAATGGGGCTGTTTACGAAGCTATGGAAACAGGTGGTGGAGGTGGCAGCTTGAAGTTGATTTGCCGACGGGCAGAAAAAAGTTTTTATCTAGCGGCTGGATAAGCTATTGGCTCCCCCTCTCTTTCTCGTGACATCGACTTTTATTCAACATGGCCCACGGTAACGTCTGGAACTCTCGTCCCAAGCACTATGGCAAAGGCTCCCGTCAATGGTATGTTGGGTGAATGCGCAAATTGGAACTTGCCATCGAGTCAACCATTGGAATTCCCTTGTCAATGGTTAACATTACGTCTTGAATAGCCGTGTCTGCGCTCACACTGCTGCTTTGATCCGCAAGTACAACCTCAACATTTGCCGTCAGTGCTTCCGTGAATACGCCAACGATATTGGTTTCCACAAGGTATGCTAGGTTATTTTTATGAGGGGGTGTAAGAGAAGGAGTAGGTTTTTTGTATACCAAATCTGATCATGTTTTTTTCATTTTCTAGTACCGTTAAGAGGACTAGCAGACCTTGTCAAGGGTATCATGTCGATAGGGCGGATGATGCTACATTTCGCTTGTATGTCGTTGACAATAAAATCATTGTAAGCTGCAGCAATGAAGACCGTTATGAAGCTATTAAGGAGGGATGGGACGGATGCGCTGTGTATAGTAGTAGTCATAGTAGGCGGATAGGGAGAGTGTATATGTATGTTTGTGCTGGTGATGAACAATACCTAATAAAAGCTAGGATATCATTGCATGTGTATGTCTCTTTTTTCATCTTTTTTCTCTTTTATTGGATCTTTTATCCCTCCTCACCCTTCCCCGGTCCCTCACACACATCCACGTCCACGTCCTCATTCCATTCCTTCATCATTCTATACCAACAATAATGCTTAACAATCCAACCATTCACGCTTCAGCAGGCCTTGCAGCAGTAATGATCGAATACGAATGCAACAATGTACCAGCTGCTGATGTCTATTCATAGATCGGTTGGTTGATCATGTTCATCGGTGCCTGTGCAGCCCATGCCCGTGGAGGAGCATGGTGGGTTATCGTCTATCAATTGCTTTTCCTCATTGGATTTTACGTCGTCATATCCAGATCCCTGATAAAGCAATATCGATTTGCTGTACGTGATCAAGTTATCCTGCTACTACTATTATCAGCGAAATTAACACCTTGTAATATAGATCCTCACGTTCTTGGCTATTGGGATAACCATGCTCACCCAGCTTCTTGGAGCCTTTGTGGGTTCTTCTAATGGTGCAGCACAAGCGAGTGCTGCTGGTTCATGCATTTTGATCATTATGCAGGTACAACTCAATTCAGCTCACAAAGCTATCATAGAGACGTATCGCTAATAGCATAGTAGTACTTTTGGGTCTTTGTTATTGGAAGTGAAGAGGATTCAGGTGTTTATCGATGGATATTTGGTCAAACACACCACAACCCAACTGCAACTGGAATTGCAACACCAGCACCTTTCTATGAAACCAAATCAGCCTACAGCGATGAGGTCTACTCTCAGCAACCACAAAAGAACGCCCCTTATCAGCCATCATCCGACGAAGCTATCGCACATGATTCTCCCATGAATAACGAAAGCAGCGTCAATGGGTCTGCAAAGATGGCACGAGATGAGGCAAGAGCAATCCATGCATGTAAGTCCGTTACACAAGACCTGCCAAGCAAGATCAACAATCATAATAACAACATCGGTTTTAAAAGATCGAGCCAATCCAGAGGACCCCAATGAAATTTCATTCGAGAAAAACGAAGTCCTGGAAATCTTGGATCGACATGGCAATTGGTGGCAGGCAAGAAAGTATGATGGCAGTACTGGAATTGTGCCTAGCAACTATGTAAGATGATGAAGGATGGGATGGCGGGGAATAACATCACTGCGTGAAATTGACATACAAGGGGGTTGATTCACCCCTTAACCAGTTTACAACTCCATAGTGCAGCAACATCTCCTTACGTTCGTTTTGATGGCTTCCCCCTTCCTTTCACCTCTAACTTGAGCTGCAGACTCTTGTACTGTCACATCTCCTTATTCCCACTGCTAATAGATTACGAACAAAGAAATACGCGGTTATCAACAAAAGCAATCATTATTTCATTTCTTTTACGTTCTCCGTGATTTAATTGCACGCCATGTGTCATTATAGCAGCACTAAATACAATGAGCACCAAGGGGTGGGATCATGAAAAGATGTCTCTGCACAGGTCAATAACATGGTTTAATGACAGTCATCATCATTGCAGAAAAGGTTGTGGTACTAAAGAACTATAACTATAACAGCGTGTAGAGTTTTAGGCAATAAATGTAAGAAAAAAGAGTCAAGGTGGTGGTGGAAAGGGATGAAAAAAGGAGACAAAGAAGACGGCTTTGTACATGGGTGATCCCTTTTTTCTTTCTTTTCTATAACGACGGCAGGATTACTGCATGAGACCTGTAGTAAATAATGCAAGACCCACAGCAAGACCCAACACCTCCTTGGAAACGGACAAAACGGTGCCTGCATTTGCACCAGGAGCTGTTTGGGAAGCGGATGGCGACAAGCTGCTGCTTGATGGCAAGAGCATAGATGAGAATGCTATATACATGAAATCAACAACGTTAGCCAATCATGGATGTTAACTTTTGATTTCTACTTACAGCTTGGTAGAACGCTTGATGATGGCAAAATTGAGGATGCTGACGCCGATACAGAGGCGGAGATGCTGCTTGCAGCTGAAGAAGCTGACGCGCTAGCAGCTGACGAGATACCACTGCTTGATACTTCAGCAGAAGAAACAGCTGCCGAAGCACTTGCACTTGCACTTTCAGACACAGCTGAAGCTGTAGCGGAAGCTGATGCTGCGTTAGAGGCCGCTGAAGTAGTATCAGCTGTTTGACCATTGGGCCAATGCTTGCTGATACATCCAGAATAGCAATTGCCATCTTGGCAAGTGGATAAACAGCTATGGGTTTGCTCAACTAAAATGCCCCTTTAGCATTGGATCATGTAATAAAAACCCATCTATAAAGTACATACCACATTCGGTCCAGCAGCTAGGATCCGATGAGCTAGTACAACCACATTGGGCGTGAACAGCAGTAGCAGCAAGAGCAAGACCAAGAATTTGATAACCTTTCATGACGACGACGAGGACAAAGAAAAAGTATGGGTGGGAAGAACAAAAGTAGTGGCAAGATGTTAAAAGGACATGTTGTCTTTTTATAATCCAAAATAAAATGTCACTTGTGCCCACAGTGGGCAGCTCCCATGTATATGCAAGTACAATCAACTCCTCGAACCTATCCTTCACACCTCCCGATATCCCTCATCAGTGCTTGTCTCCGATCAATCGGTTACTGTACATACCTCTCCCTCTATTGGAAAATGTCAATCGTTTTTTTTTGTTTTGGTTCGCCACAAACGGAGCTTGCATTACTTCTTTCTTTCTTCTTCGATGCATGTTGCATCTTTGTTTCTTCTCATGTTCTAAATAGGCTAGCGGTAAAAGGTAGTCAAAGTCGTTATCCTCATCTACACATGACCTGGAGGCAGCCTTTTGCCAGCAATGCAGCTTGGCCCCTTGCGTCATTCACGCGTATACATAATAACGCTCATCCATCACATCACGCTATATCGTCTGACATCCCGTAAATGCATGCAAATAAGCCGCTCTTGGTTGTCCGTGATCGGATGCATCCTTCAAGCGCCATTTTATCTATGTACGAAGACCAGCAATGCCGTCTCACTTTGAAAACACACACACGGCGTTAAGCGATCGGAATATCCGTGTCGCCGAAATGTGTCACAAAAAGGCATGAGAGCCAGCATTCTTTACCATGACGATAGGCGTCACTTGCAATCGAGCCACGTGTCATACATCATTTGAAACATTCTGACACGAAAGGATGTGTTGCGTATTGGTCCAGACTAACGTGTTTTGGGTGCAAAAGTGAAGCGAGAAGTAAACATAAGAGCTTGATTGCATAATGCACACAAGAACACAAGCTGCTTCAATCTACCTTTAACGCCGAAGATGTCGTGTCAACATGAGCATCCTATTCCGCCTCACCGATAACGGACATTGTACATAGGGTGAATCGTACAAGTGTACTAGTTCATGGCTTGCCACACTCGTCCGTGCGCTTGGTTTATTATCTTTTCTCACACAACATTGGTTATATCCCACACTTTTGATATCGTGAGTCACTTCAGTATCTTGTGTCACGTTCTATTTGCTATTTTCATTTCTACCAAACTAATGGGGTGCTATCGCGATCCATCTCTTTTGGTTACGTGCCTTGGGTGATGACCAAATAATAGTGGTAGCTGATATGGTGGATCTTCTCGGCAATATTGTGTTTTCAGGCTTCCTCCTTATCACAGCTGGGGCCTGTCTTGCCCTGCAGGCAGGTAATATGAGAGTCGTAAGCTAAGTAATTCAATGCACACACACATCCCCTCTCACACTCTTTCACTCTTCACATACATACAACGCTTGTAAAGGGTGTAATTCAAATCTAGCACGACACGCGGGAAGGACATTTGCACCGTTTTGGTCATTTGGATCAGGGTTGATATGCTGTTTAATATTCTTTGTCATTGATACGCAAGCACTAAAGACACCGTTACCAGATCAAAGCTTGTTGGGTGAGAAAGGGTCGAATTGGATGTGTTGTGATCTCCTTATTCATATCATCCATAGATGCTCCTGGATACGTTTGGATTGGTAAAAGGACTTTGGAAGGGCAAGATGAGCTTGGAGATCACTCATTCTCATGTAGGGGGTCTAATGGGAGCATACTATGTTTTCGCCAATCTCGTTTCCATGCCACGCCTGGGAGCTGCAACATCGCTCAGCATTTTTGTATGCTCACAAGTAGGTAGTAACAATAATTGTGGAACGAAAAAGGAAAAAGAGCAGTGGGTAATTAAAGTGAATAGGTCATCATGGCCTGCATTATTGATCATTGTGCCTTGATGGGTGTTCCTCAACGCGACTTCACTATTTGGCGTATTCTCGCATCTCTTGGTTTGATCCTTTGTGTTTTTATTATAGCCCGATATTAGAAATTACATGAATTGCCCATTTCCCCTCTATTTCCCTTTCTATCATTGTTTTCACATAATGCGACACAAAGAAGCCAATAATTCTCTTTTTCATGCTGTTTTTTGCTTCCGCTACAATGCGAATCAACTTTTTTACATTAATTTTCAGGAGGTGAAAAGGCGCCTGCAACTAAGCAGAGATTTCGTTTTGTGAATTGGGTCTTGTAAACTGGGGTGTTCTTGGTTGGGAATACGCCAAGCTGGTCATGACTATAAAAGACATTTTAAGTATTGATACCACTAAATGAATGAATCCAATGGCTTATTACCTTTCAACGGGTCCCTTTTTACGCTTCACGTCATCTCGCAATTTGTCTTTGGATTCCTTCTTGTCCTTGGATTTGCTGCGTTCACTCTCATCCATTCGTATCCGCTTAGCATCCACGCCTCCAGTGAGTGCTGCCACTGTGCCATCTGATGATGTATCCTTATTGACGTCCCATACGCGCACTGTGCCATCAGCTCCTCCCGACACAAGAACGTTGCTATCAGCGCTAAAGTCCACCGAATAAATGAAGCCGGTATGTCCAGTCATCTTCTTCAATCGTCGTCCTGATCCCAAATCCCAAAGCATAATTGATCGATCCTCGCCTATCCATCAAAGTGATTAACATCCACCCTTACAACGTATCCCTCGTATTTCTTACCTGCGGATGCCATCAATCGACCATTTGGTGATACTGCCACTGTTTTTACAGATCCTGTATGGCCCGTGAAAACCCTCACACACGTGCCTCGTTGTACATCCCACAGACGGCAGGTACGATCGCTTGAACCCGTCACCAAGTATTTTGAGTTGGGGTGGAATTTCACAGTCTAATCCCATAACCAAAATCAGCATCCCACCAAAACCTTTGTATATCGCCATGTGGTAAATACATACATCAACGTCAGAAAGATGTCCTGCAAAGATTCGAAGTGGATGAATATGGTCACAGCTCCAGAGCCGTGCTGTTCGATCATTGGATGCCGTTGCAAAGTAAAATCCATGAGGTCCAAAATCGACATCCCAGATTGGGTAGTTGTGGCCTTTGTAACACACAAGGTTGGAATAGGTTTGAGTGCTCCACAATCGTGCTATAAGATCTGTTAGTCGTTTCATTCACGATTCCAAAGGATAACACAAACCTGTTTTATCTTCTGAACAAGAAATCAGGTACTTGTTGTCGTGGCTAAAGCTTAAACCATAGACCGGCCCTGAATGACCAATAAGGCGTTTGTATTCTGAACCATGTCGTTCCTTGTGTCGATTGAGATCATTCACTAATAAATGAAGCATGAGTTTTCAGGTTTCACGTGTACAATGGTGATAACACTTACGATCATTGACATGTGCAGGGTTGATAGTGTTCCTTAATCCTCGTAGCTTTTCGCCTTTAAGACTCCATATTTTGATAAACGACTCTGAGAAACCACCAGCGACGAGGGATGCATCTTCGGTGATGGAAAGACAATTCAAGCTAGAAAATGATATGTATGAATACCTTGTTGGTAACCCCCATTCAGTGCTTAGACTTACTCATCGTGTGTGTTGTGGAATGTATAGCAGCATATACTTGGCAAGGATGCGCTACCAAGCGAAATTCGTTTCCTCAAGTCCTTCAATGAATCGATTTCCGCTTGGATATCTGTTCCCCTACTACTCAATCTTGATGAATATCCAATCATGATCATTATTGCCATCCTGAACTTACTATTGGGGTAGTGGTATATCTCCAAAAGCGGGACCATCGGCAGTTGCTTCTTGTTTGACCTTCTTGTATGCGTCCAGTAATCCCTTTTCTGCACTTCCATTCACAGCAACCTTTTGAATCATCCATTAGGCTCGATAACGGTCGTCTCTCTATCCCACTCAACCTACATTTTCAGCCGAAGTCTCTTTGTTGCTTGCATCCTGCTCTTTCAATGCTTGCTCCACTTCATCTTTGAATGCCGGATCCATTTGCGTTTCACCAAGTTGTAGTGTTTGTTGATTGAACGATTCAATTTGCTGTGATTCATGTCCAGTAATACCAATAACACCAGTGGCATCATCGGCATCCATTCCCGCATCCAAAAGCTTTCCATGTATCACTGGCATAAATGCATGAGGACCCCATATTATCGAATAGAATACCCCATGCTCCCATTATTACCTTGAATATTGAGATATTGATTCACAATCCGTAAAAGAAGCATATACTTGTTGTCTTGAAGATAATTGAGGAATAGCTCAAATGGGACACCCGACATACGCAAGTAGTACTTGTTGCTGCGATAGAGCTGAGCTAATTCATTCTCTCGTACATGTTCAGGCGTTGTCACCGTCTCGAAGCGATTGATGTCAAGCATGTGTGTCTCGATGTGATCGTTCTTGTAAGTTTCCATGAATTCCTTTGCTGCCAACGTAAAAGGTACATCAGCATCCTGATATCCGATATATAACAAAGCCTTCATCTTTACCTTGTTCCTGCATATTCTTACTGACAAGATCAAGATAGGCATGGATGAAAATGGGAAAGAGGACATTTCGAAGCTCGGGCTATAAGGAAAAATGAATAAATCATCATTGTCGCGCCATACACAGTGCTACCAAGATAGATACCTTGTACCAATCCAATGAGCTTTCGATCCACTTGCGTAGACTGCGGTAGCTCACGCTATACGCGTTGGGGTCTCCCTCCTCGCCGTATTTGAGTACTTGGTTCCCATACGACTTATCCGATGACGCGAGTTCTTGTGATAGCTGATCGAGGGACAATGTGCTGCCGCTCAATTCTTTCATGAAGATAGCCTCTGTTGCTTTGTAACCCTTCTTTTGGAGATAGGATGCCACGATTTTGTCAATGTCGGCCTGTGAAGGCAAGTTGGTGAGAGCTGGAGATCCACGTTGTTGATCGCCACTGTTGCCAGCATTCTGTTGTTGTTGTTGTTGTTGTTGCTTATTATCTGATGGTCCAGGGGTAGCTGAATTCGCTGGGGAACTCATAATGGTGGGTTGTAGCAGTTGTGTGTTTGTGTAAAAGAAAGGGCGAGTGGAGTTACCAAGAGCAAAGATGAAATGCCAGCTTCCCCTTCCTTCCAATTCCCGCTTGACGGACCAAGTCTCAAGTCACAGCTCACTACTCACTATGCGATCATTCATAAATGAAATCTCTCATAGCAACGCCATAAGCAGTTTAGCAACGATCATAGTACAATGTCTTTTTTGCACGTTGAGCTCCAATAGATTCGTATCACACGTTTCCTTCAAATAAAAAACATACAATCATGGCATGTTTTCTATCGATAGCCATCACCGGGTCCCGTTAAATACTCATCAAGGACTTGCATTGTACATGTATATGGGAGGTCTCTATGGAATTGATTTGAAGAATACTGGACTAATAAAAGGATACTTGCTAGATCAAGCTCGTCACATACAAGTGCTAATGAAGCTTCTCGATATGTGTTGTGGCGCGTTAATGTTTCCATGGCAACATCCCATGCCAACGTGTAGTGCTCCAAGTGATCAAAATGTCGAGTCTTGTAGTGGGGCAGGGGAAATAGGCATCATGCTCTCAATAGATAAGGCGCATCAATTGGCTGGTGGCGGTACAATTTTGTGTCCCATTTCTTCGCCTTTTACAATGTCTGAGGAGCCCAAGACCAAGGTGTCAAAGACAAGCTTGCAAGCTAATGAAGTACTCAAGACGCAAATCGAAGCCTCTATTGGCGTAGCACGATCTCTGGTGAATTCGTGGTTACCAGCACCCAAACCAGGCGAGAAACTTGAGGACGATGACAGCGACACCGAGACCATGAATCGATACTCGACCGGGCGACCTGACAGGTAGCGTTTTCAACTGTGACATGGCTCGCCGATTAGTAATACCATAGTGGACAGGCTTGGATTAGGTGCCAAATTCTTGTCGCATGCAGAGGCAATGAAACACCAGACGCAATCGCTGTCCAAGCAAGAGATGCAGCTTCGTAACAAGATCGTCAACCAAAACCAGCGAGCGACCAACGCATCCACAATTGGCAAAAGGTCTCGTGACCAAGACAACGACAATGATGATGATGATGATGACGATGATGACGATGAGGATTCAAGAACTAAAGTGGTCTCTGCACGTGGTAAATTGACATCTCGTCCAAGTGAATCAAAGACCAAAGACACTGGTAGCCGAGACTTTTTATCCATGTATTCTTCTGGGAATGGAAATGCTGGCAAAAAGAAGAGGAAAAGAAAACCAAGATCCAAACAAGCAAAGCAAGGAAAGGAAGTGCAGGACGCTTAGAAGAACCCGATATCATTCATCATTTCATCACCCCCCATCTTCATCATGTTGTATATATAAAGACATTATTTGTTGGCTTGCAATCTTTTGAAAGAGCGTTCTGTTAGCAGGACAAGTGGACCAAAGCTTATGCGGTTGAATTAAGATCTCAGGGGGATGCTCCCAACCTTATATTGTCTAATCGATGTTTTATACAAGGGGATCAATAGTGAGTATGATGGTGGATGTCGCCATTCAGGAAGGAATTAATGTTTCACATAACTTGGGAGGTACTTGCTTCTATGGATTACCGATCCCGAAAGTGCGCCCCCATCAAAAAAGGATTATGTTGTCTGCCAAGACGTTTATTACATCCCTCGAAACCGCTATCTTGGTGCTGTATGTGCCTTTATTATAAAGATAACCCGTATATCAAAGATAAAACATGTCATTAAAATGCTGTCACTATGGGGGTCATTGTTGTCATGGAAAGGGTTGTGTGGAGATGCTGCCGACCGAATAAGGCAAAGATGTCGGGCCAACGAGTGGGCCGATATATATATAAATCCCATTTCTTTTCCGCTTTCTATCTTTTCTATGTGCCAATGTCTCCCAAAGGGAAGAATGTGCCATGTGAAGGTGAGTTTACTTGCATTGCGAAAATGTGGTACAAGAGACACTAATATCTAAAGTATTTGTAGGGTGCCGTGAACGTAAAAAAAAGTGCAGCTCTGGACAGCCATGTGAACGGTACTTGTTTTGTCAAATGGGGAGAGTGTTGCAAGTCTTGATTCCCACTCACTGGATGCAATAGGTGTAAACGACTCGGGATCGAATGTCATTACTTGAAGCCAGCTGCACCACCCGATCTAGAATATGTGGACTTGGTCAACAGCCACGAGTTGGAAGCGAATGTGGATGAACTTGAACGATTGATGACTGATATGGAGGGTGAACTGTTACGAGTTCAGCAACATGGATTTGATACAGCAAACATCATGAATGGATCGAGTGATGATAGTATACCACCCGCAATGACAACGGATAGTCCATTTTCAAGTGCATCGACCCCCACATCAGATGGTGTAGCCAGCCCACCGGAGCTTTCAGTTATCAGATCAAGACAACAACCAACCACTGAAAAGACGTTCTCACCGAATTGGAAAGTGACATTGGGAAAATACGGCTTCTCCATCGAAACCGATATTCGCTCTTATGACGATCTACTCCAACAAGTACAATTATTCAGTACAACCATCTCAATACCTTTGTTGAAGCAACCATCATCAACCGATCCACAGCTCATTCCTCGTTATACGTTACCGACATTATTACGACGAGCTCATTATCAAGCATCAAAACGATGTATGCTACTCAGTGAAGACCAATCACCATCACCATCATCCATCATCATCAACAATGATCTAGTAAACGCGATCAATTACAACCTTGCCACCCATTTACTCGAAGCCTATTTCTCATGTCAATTCTATCGCACCATTATCCTTCATCGCAACACATTTTACTCCTTGTTTGTCACCAATAAGGATTTGTATTCTTCATCAGTGGTATCGTCGTTTTGTGCAGCTATTCTTACATTGCGATGTCGTCATGTGCAATCGACCATTCCTTATGAACAACAGCGACAACTACAAAACCTGTATTACAGCCGAGCTCATGATCTGATCGAACAATCGTTTGATGAACCTACACTTGACACCTTTATGACCTATTTATTCATGGCATATTATCACAGCAATCTCACACGACCAAAAGAAGCACGACAATATTTGGATTTTGGATTACGGATACGAGAACTCATTGATGATCGATACATGTCACCTGATTGCGACAACAATGAGCGAGAGTTATACAAACGACTCCATGTTCTGATATCCATCATTGCCAGGAAAATCGAATTTCTCAACAATCAACGAGGAATTCCTTTGAAAGTGAAGCGACCCATACGAGTGATGAATGTTGAAGTATGCAAGAGGATACGATCAGCAAGATATCAGGCAACACCATTACCCGGTGAATCATTCCATGTTGAACGGGCCATTATGAAAGACAAGTTTGGTGCTGGTATCAATAAGATCTTGGGTCCTTACTTGAATCACACACGCTTATCGCAAGATCCTGTCCCGCTTTCTTTGCTTGTGAAAACTGAATCAGCATTGAATCAATATTGTTTCAAGGACATACCTACCACCTATCGCTTATCACTCAACATATTTGAAAACGACATTTCCGATAGCGAATTTCGACATCGACTCAACAATGATAAAAGCACTGATCCATCGACGGTCACGCTCGCCATTCGATATTATCAAGCTCTCATTACAATTCATGAGCCTTTTCTTCCCACGCTCCCGCCTGAATTCCGTACCAACGCCTTTGACACTGAAGAAGTGACACCTTCCATCATTGAACCGCCAACATTGGAAGCCGACAAACGAGATCGATTTACCATGCGAGCACTTGAAGTATGCTATCGTTCAGCTGTTATCATCACTCGACTCTTTGAATATCTCGTCTTGCAAGAGAGCATTTGTTGTGAGACCTTGATGCCACTTTTATTGTCTGCATGGGATATCCACGTGCGCAATGCATGTTTAGGATTTGCAGATCCTGAAAAGGCACAAAAGCATGTTCCTATTCGAGTTGTCAAGGCATCACGCGATTATGTCATGAGGTGCATCTGTGTGCTACGCAAAGGATATTGTTACAATGCAGCCGATCGGGCCATGTGGGAACATCATCAAAATATGGAGAACGAGTTATTGCAGGCATTGTTCGCCACACGTCCATACACTGCCGAATACTGGGATCCTTGGTCATCCACAGCCGCTTGGTAGTGCATCATTTCCATTTCTACCTCCTCCTCCTCCTACTTTTACTTGTACATTTATTCAACTCTCTTCTTCCCCCACATTGTAATTATATACAAGAGCCTCTTTATCTTTTTTCTTGCTCGCATACTGTAGTAGTTTATTAATACAGAAAAAAGCGACTATAATAAACTTTGCAGATATTGCTTAGTCAATTGTCCCATTTCTCGGAAGTAGGATGTTGCTGATATTGGTTGCTCATTTGCATCGACAATATTAGGACGAAGAAGTTCACAGCACCATGCAAGATTCTGCTCTGCACGATTACGCACAATCGTATTCGAAGAGGACCGTAACATGTCGAGTAACTCTGCAACGATGAGAGCTGTATGAACGTCGTATATGCAAGGGTGATCTTTCTCATGCAAGACAACCGTGAGCTTGACAAACGCATCGCAGCATATTGAAACAACCATCAGGGCACGCTCACTATCAAGCCGATGAAATGGAGGATGATCTTGATCATTGGTATCTTTGGGCAAGGGAGGCGGAGACATGAAACGCATTTCAAGCATAATCCATTGATCGTAATAGAACCTGTGCAACATCAGCACTGTTGGATTGATGCATTGTCGTAATTGATACAAGTCGAGAATATCAAGCGGGCCGGTTTGTGTGAGTCGATAGGTATTGGGTAATCGATGCCAGAATGTAAAGAACCATTGTTCAGCTTCGACGACTGCACGATATGATACATGTTCCACAAGGCCAGTATTGAGTTTAAGCAATAAACGTGGTATGGCAATACTGAATTCCACAAAGTGTCGAAAGGCATCAACGACTGCATACAGCGCTGGGTCGGCTTGTTCATCTGGCATCATCTTGGGTAACCCGGCTTGGCTGTGAAACGAAAGGTCATGATCATGATCATCGCTCATGACACTATTTTGCCTGCTGTATGCTGTAAAGCCTTGGTATACAAAACGCATCAACGCATAAGATCGTCGCCATGTTTCCGCTTTTGCTTGCAATTCCAGAGGTATTGAATCATCATCATCGAAATGCTGTAATACGGGAAGATAGGTCGCACGTAGCTGCACCGCCATTTGCCATCCAATATCCAAGAGCATACGAGCCTCATCATGCTTTAGTAGAATAATCAAAGACATTCCCATCATCCATAATGCAAGCATTGTTTCAATAGATGGTGCTGCTGTTTCTTCATCATCGCCAAAAAGTGTTTCTTCCATCTGCTTTCGAGCCCGCTCGAGACAATATTGACCGAAGGCTTGACGTGTGCAAGGGAAGGGAATAAGGCTCACGTGGTTACATGGTGATAATGCTACGTATGCTACTGTCGCGTTGGTGATCATTGAATCGGGATATCGGTGGTATAGATCCATGAAATAAGGGCGAACGATGATGGGGGTTGCATATTCGATACAAGAAAAGAAAAGGTCAATCATGCGGTGTTTGATGCTGGAAATGTCAAATGGATCGGTATCTTGTGATGAAAGGCGTTTATGTATGGGTCGATTGCTGTTGCTTAAAAGGATGCAAACATGTCGATATTCGGTACCCAGGCGTTTGAGTGTCACCTGCACTGATGCATTATCGCCATCCTCCGTAGATCCCCATATTGATGGACTCCTCAAGGATAATGATTGGTCCCAGAAAAAGTATGACCATGTCTGCTCCAGGAACATGAGCATATCCGTCATTGATCGTACTGGCGTTTCAATTCGAATTCCTTGCTGTGTCATTACAATTGAAAGGTGTCGTTGATATCTCGTCAAGTCGCAAGATGAAAGCTGCCTTAAATGCTCTTCTAGTATTGTTGCCTGCTGTTCAAGATTCCTAAGCTCTTTTGCCGCTTTTGCCTCGGGTGCCATTCGTTTGCTGTAGCGCTTTCGTATTCGTTTTGTGCGTCGTATTGGAAACCGAAAGAGACACACTATCCCATACTCTCGACAACGCTCACAAGCTGTGCCTTCCATGGCCACACATTTCCTTCGCTTGATTCGACAATGCTCGCCTAGTAATAGCAATGCACTCCATCAACATTTGTTTTCTCGTCTTCATTCAATTGCTTTACATACAAGGAATGGTCCGTGTGTTCTTTTCTATTGACATTGCTCGATGCAGAAAAAGAAGAGTGGAGCAAGCGGAACCAAATGTGCCGAGTTTTCATTTTCCACTTTAATACATTACACAGGCGGTGGTCCTGGATGGTTGTACACAATGATCGACATACCCGGGTACATAGCAAATCATTTGGTTGCGATGGAGACAACGTCCACTCATGGGAAATCGCCGCTTTCGATCCCCCACCTTTGTGCTATTATTGCTATAGCAGATGTCATTGAGTTGGAAATAAACTTTATGCGAGACATTTTGTCTTTGTTTATTGGATTCGTCTAGCGTCTACTTCACGTCATAGTTGATCATAGCATACTTTGGACAAGGGTTTATCACTTTTCTCATGCATATTAATTAGCAGCTGCTCTCATTGTCTTTGTGTGCTTTCTTCCCATAAACATTTCTATATCCATGCGCACAACAACAACAGCCATACTTTCATTGTTATGGCTTGTCAGCTTAGTGACAAGCCGTTCCTTGGTGGATACCTTGAAGAAAGATGATCGATTCACAGAGCTTATCCATCACTTAAATCGAACCCAACTTTTACGCGACCTCGAACGCTTCGACACTGGAACAGTATTTGCACCGGTCAACGAGGCATTTAACAAGGACGATGATGACCATCTCAGCCGTGCAGCACTTCTTTATCATGTGCTACCGAGTGCAGTAACCACGCAAGATTTTTATGATGGTCAGCTGCTTGGCACATCCTATCACCGACAAAAGCTCAAAGTGACAAAGCAAAAGAAAAACCAATGGGCCGTTGGCAATAACGATGCAAAAATTATCGACGCTGACGTGAAGACTGATAATGGTGTCATTCAAGTCATTGACAGCGTGTTGAAACCATTGGATGATTTGAGTATGTTTCATCTTTTTTTCCTGCATTGCATGGCAATTATTAACGCACAGCACCCATCATCATTTGTTGTAGCGCAAACCTTGTTGCATGATAATGACCTGCAGGAGTTTGGAAATTTGATCGAACGTTCCAAGCTCGATCGAGAGTTGAAACGTGTCAATGGCTTCACAGTGTTTGCCACGCAAGGTGTTTTGGATGGATTACCGGATGATGTAAAGGATTACCTTGATCACTCGGCTGTGGACCTTGCCAAGGTATTGGGTCATCAAATCCATGCCGGTCCCATTTACAGTTACGACCTCGAATTCGGCAAGAAAGAGTACTCGACATTGCAAGGAGAGCCTATCATTGTTGAAGTAAACAAGAACAACGAGATCACCGTCAATGGTGCCAAGGTCATAAGACATGACATTTTGGCATCCAATGGTAAGGATCCTTGAGTCTATGTAGAAAGTAGCACTTGTTGACATGATCTATTATTGGTGTAGGTGTAATTCATTTGGTGGAAAAACCTATTCTCCCAAAGCACCGAGGCTTCTTGGAAATGGATGTTCGCAAGACCCTCATCAGCATGAATGCAAGCAAATTTGTTGGCATGCTTGAAGATTATGGGTTGCATTCATACTTGGAAAGTAAAGCTCCCCAAACAATCTTGGCGCCTACAAACGACGTCCTCAAGGACGATGAACATGATCACAGTCGAGGTGCCATCGTATCATGGCTCAAGTACCACATCATCAACGACAAGTATACAAAAGACAACTTGTCAGATGGACAATTGCTGCAAACACAATCTTCTCATCATCTTGGCGACCATATGCACCAAAGACTTCCGATCCATATCATTGACAAGGATACTATACAATTCGGTGGGAGCGGTATCAGTGATTGCCCAAGTAAGGCTTAAAATGGAATTTCATGATATGACATGGATGGTGCTAACTAATGCTTTATTTAGGATTGGTCGATAATAGTATTGTGTACCCTCTTTCACGTCCATTGGCTATGCCTCGTAGTGCACTTGGTCAACTTCCTCTGGATTTGGATCTATCAACATTTGTGGCGAGCTTGTATGCTTCCAAGGCATCCGACATGGTTGATTCAGCTGAAGGCATCACTCTATTGGCACCTACAAACAAAGCTTTCCAACAACTCGGCCTTGTTACCAAGCATCTGTTACAAGCACCAAAGAAGCTTGCCGATGTTATTGGGTTCCAAACGTTGACAGACATTTTTTACTACAATGACAAGGATCAGCATTGTGGAATGACCCTTAGCAAGGAAAAGCGTTGCTTCAATACCAGCATCATTGATCAGCCAAACACGTTGGTATCAAATGGCGTCATCCACAAGGTGCATAGGCTAGCATTGCCTTGCAGCCTCGAGATCACACACCGCAATTTATTGGATGTGGCAGGAACAAATACATTTTACGAACGACTAGTTCGACAAGACAAGGATGTATTGGACAAGGACAAATCATACATTTTGATCGCACCTACAGATGCAGCGATGGCACGAGCCAAGGAGTTTGTGTTGGAGATCCATTTGGTGCCTATCGACAAGGAAGATGAAAAGCGTATCCTGGATACTGAAGATGATGTGACATTGAACACAGCCTATGAAGGTGTCTCTGTTGTTTTTACCCGTGATAGCGTACGAGTAGGCCAAACTGAAGCCGAGATTGTTGATTGGGGCAAGACCACGCGTGGAGGAGGTGGTGGTGTCGTTGTTGTGAATCAAGTATTGCCTCGACCTTCCCGCCAGGGTCTCGCATGGTGGCAGGTGATGCTTATTGCACTTGCTGTATTAGCAGGAGCTGCGCTATTGGGTGCCGTCATCTACTTTGGATATCGTTGGTGGAAGCAACGTCGTGAAGGATACATCACATTGGACCAGGAGCAGTAGTAGTGGTAGTAAATGGATGATTGTAGAGTAGGGAAATGTGACTATTTGCCGGGTAGTAAAGTGTTGTTCAAAACAGCCAGCTCGATTAGGCTTCTTATTGGTAGTCAATTTTCAGCCCATATACACATCTTGTTCCTCCCCACTCTCTCTTTGTCTCTATTGATTAAAACATGGCATTGCGTACCTCGACACGTCTTTTGAATGCTCGTTTGACCACCACCGCTGTTCGTCAACAACCCATGCGCATGGCTATGCGTGCCCAATCGACCTTGAACACCGGCGAGGTTCTCGAGGATCCTCAAATTGGCGACTACCCCAACTTGCCTCGTTACAGCACCCAAACTCGTGGTCCTTACGGCTGGTGGGATCCCCAAGACAAGCGTAATTTCGGCGAAACCGTAAGTGGCTCATTGACAACATTCAACATGAGGACCGAGTTTATTTATGCCCATGCCCCCAACCCCCATCTCAATATAGGTTCATGAAGAGGACGAATTGTATGGTGTCTGGGCCCCTGACCTTTTCCACTATAGCCCTTACAAGGCCCTTGCTCAACTTGGTCTTGCTGCTGGTATCTTCGCTGGTGTTTCTTACCTTGTTTACAACAACTATCCCGAGCGTCCTGCTGTAAGACATCTCTCATTATCTTTTACAGACTCATGTCTCACACATCTTGTCTATAGTCCAAGCGTACTTATCCCTATGATGGTCTCAAGGCTGAACTTGGCTCTCGCGAATATGACATTAGACCCCGTGGTGTAAGTAGACAATGGATGTGTGGTTTTTAATAAGACGTAAGGTGACTAAACTACATGATTTTATAGGCTCGCCCTGATACCGAGGCATAGAGAGTGCATGTAGAATATAATTGTATATCACAAATGCAATAGAGTAAAGAAAACATAATCATTGTGCCGTTTTGTCTGAAGATTGCTTACGCCAAGATGTGGGTCGACGTCTAGATTCAGCGCCTGTGTCAGCCAAACCAAGATCTTCATCCACCAAATTAGAAGGTCGTCGTAATGTTTGCTGAGAGCGATACCAATTGTAATCCAATTTCTCGGAACATTCACTAGGACGCGGTTGGGTAGTGCCTTGTTGTGTATTCACGCCACTGCCGTAGATGGACGTGGGTCGTTGATGAGTGGCAGATGGAGGATCCAATGGATGGACACTAGCTTCTGTACGCCGTCTATTATGCACTTTGTGGATTTCATCATATAAACGTTGTCGTTGCTCATGTTGGACATTGGCCACATCCTCATAATTGGGAGGTTGTTCTTGGTCATCATCATCATCATCGTCGTGGTCGTGGTCATCGTTTGCTTCATGTATAACTAACTTCGTCTCTGGACCCACCATCTTCGTTTCTCTATCCTCGCCATCGCTGTTTTGATAATCTTCGTACTCGATTAAGGCTCGCCTTTCCAATGATCTGTAGTAGCGGTTCACAAACCAAGCTGCAAAAACAATGACAATGCTATACACAGCCCATGTGAGAGTACGTTGCACTGTATACCGCGCCCAGAGCTTCGTGCACAGGTCCACCACATGTGCGACCTCGCTGTCAAATTCATAGCCAAACGACCACCAGAACAGCCCATTGGTAGTATCATCCACGCAGTTATGAATAATACTATTCCGATATAGCGTAAATGTCAATATGATATGGATGATACCAATAATAATGCTTAGAGCAACGAGGCATATAAGGAAATAAAGATACATCCGGATCCCGTGTCTGTTGGCCTAAATCCATGATACATCATTCAGCACATGCTTATTATTGATTTCCCTTTTGGTATCAAATACTTTACCCTCAATGTGAAATAAAGACCATAGACTAATGTCCATAAGCCAATCACACCGGCAATGGCCGCATAGACATATATATCGACATATCGTACTCGATAAGGTGTCACTTTTCACATTAATCAGTACTCGGATTTCCAGCGAAAGTACATTGCTCTGTAACCCACCTCCTCCATACGTGAGATCTACAGCCATCAAGGCTGCGCTCGAAAGCTGCATCATGATGATCGTGTTACTGCTCTGTCGTAAATGGTGATAGGTTATCCCTACTTACCACGAGTAGGATCTCTGCTACAATGGCATACACACGTAATGGTATCCTTGAAAACACCGAGAAAAGCCTTTTAAACATGGATCATTCAAAACGTGGAAAAGCAGGAAAAGGCATATTCCACCATTATTACCCATACCCACTGTTGTCATTTTAGCATGGGTTGGTATAGCTATACACATACACACCCTTCCTCCCTTACGCATGACCCTTGAAGAATAAATCAAAAGCAAGTGTATTTACATTTCAATCTGATTACTATGACACACAAGTTTCTCCAACAACGGCTGCCAATGGGCACGCATCAAATTACTAAAAGCATTATCCGTTAAATCGATCGAAATATCTTCTCGTGGATTCGATCCTAGAAGTTTGTATTGTGTTAGCTCATTTCTCAAAAGGCACGAGTATCCCTATATGCACCTACCTGCATTGTCATAGCTGGCTTGGATTTCATCAGTGATGCGGATATAACCCCCAATGTCGCAATAGACGAACTTGATCTTTTTAATGGCGGGCCACATTTCCAGTCCTTGGGGAAGCTTGGCTAATGACTCCGGTCCTAGTGGATTAAAACTGAGATCCAGCGATAAGAGGCTGCGGCAATCAAGCAGTGGGATAAGGTTGTGTGTCAATCGATTCGATTTGAGGTCGAGATGCTGTATGCCGGGTGTTGATGTGAGTATGTCGATAACGTCTTGGTCATCTAATAATTGAAATGAGCATTTGGTTGCATGGGGAATTTTGAAACACGTACAAAATAGATTGGCAGAAAGATCCAGGGTATTCAAAGGTGGGATGCGTTTGAGCACTTGAGTAATGGCAGCGACATCACGTGATGATAACCCGGCACCCGATAGCTTGAGAACGCCACCCTGGTGATCCCGCAACGCACTCTCCACAGTGGTCAAAGATGGTAATCCTAATCGTGTGCATACATTCTGATATATCTCAACAGGGGTCTTTTTGACATAGCCTATGTTGTGTGGAATCAATACAAATGCCGGAAACAATGACATGGGTGTTCATTGTGTGTGCCTACCATCAACCACTGCCTCCATTTCCATATCTTGGTTAATCGCCAAAACAATGATTTCATGAGGAGAAAGAGCACTTGACCCAACTTGTAAACGATTCACACGAGGCTATTACCACCCATTTAATAAACCTTTTCCATTACATCATCCTTCAATAAATTTACCTCAACACCATATTGTTCCCAAGCCAGCTCGGTCACCTTGGCCATCAGCCACCCAATATTGCGTATGTCGTTATCAATTGGTACTTTTACGCCCTTGTTTTCGCCATCCACTGGTATCATGACAGTAACTTCCTATTCAAAGCCGCCATTTAGCATCGATAATATCCCCGAAGTGGATCTCTTACCATCAAGGACTTGGACTTGTTGCTTTCTGATACCATAAATCCAGGAATCGTTTTGGTGTCCACCGCATAATCAAAGGATGTTGTGCTCCAATAATCCATGTGTGCACTCTAAAGGCCAATGCATTGTAAATAAGATGCTGCCGAGAAATGAATCGAAAAGCTGACATACCTCGTCTTCATCGTCTAGCGTATCCTCCTGATAATTCTTCTCCAGCTCCTTCAGTAACTCTGACCACTGGTGGTAATCATCCTTCCGCTCAAAGTAGTAGTATATTTGCGTCATTCGCTCATACACAACTTGTAGCTGGTGTAATCGCTGGGTCAAGTCGGTAAAATAAATCTTGATCTCCACGAGGATTTCATTGTTGAGAGCAATCAATTCATCTACGGACTTTTTGCCAAAATCGTTAATGTTACATGTATGCGCGGTGCTCTTCCTCATGACTTACCAATTCGCGTAGACGCCATGCTAACTCAGCCTGTAGCTGCATCAATGCAATGCGTAGCCGAGGAAGTTGTTTCTTGATACTTGGGTCTTGATCAATACAGTGGATGCCTTTTTCAGTAGACGCCAGCGCCATCTTGTACATGAAATGCTCAAACTCGATACGAGCTAGAGGGTGGGATGACTTTAGCTTGATATAAGCATGATCCTAATCTCACTTACCCTTTTTGAAGTAAAGGTTCCCCCGAACATTGACAGTAGACAAATCAATCACACCCGGTAATTCATCCAGTTGATCTTTGATGCTTTTGCTGGCTACTACCAGTTTTGTGGAGCTTGTCTACAATACGTTATTGAATATCAGATTCACACACGCATCAGAGAAACCTACTTACTGCTTCATTCTCATCCTCCTCGCTATCGACCAACTCTGTCAAGGAATACTATGTTAATACGTATACGTGGATGGGAAAGAAAAGATGATACGTACGATTGAGCTGATTGCAACATTTCAAGCACTCATCAAAATCACCATACTCCAGGTACGTCTTGACTAAATGATGATTTTAAGTAACGTAGTACTCTCACATTTTCACATCACTTACCCATTTCGATAAGGCAAAGGATCTTTTCATCCGTGTTGCTGTGCTTCTCGACAAGATGGAGCTCTTTTTCTTGACAACGTATTGCACGCTCGAAATCACCATTCTTTTTGCATATATTGCCAAGCTCCCACCACGCCTTTCGTTCTTGCTCATAATCACCAAGCTGATGGGCTCCTTTGATAGCATCGAGAAGGTATTCTTTACCACGGTCGAGACCTTCAACAAACTTGGCTTCGATCACACCCAAATTGAAATCGAGAGAGACCTTCATTGTCGGGTATCCTTCGGTATCCGCTATATGATGACGGTGTTAGTAGACTGTAGATCCCTTTTCTCTACCATAGGATTGATGCTTACGATCGAGTTGATCCAAAATATTTCGTTCTTGGAGATAATAAACGCGTGCATTCTCAAAGTCATTGTACTTGGCCGAATCAGGTTCGTGTCTACGGGTTGCTGTTAGCTATGCTTGCCATCTCGCCATGTCTTCATGTCTTAGCTTTACCCTCGTTCAAAGTAAATGTCGCCCAGAGTTCTGGTAGCATTTCGCAGCTCCAACACATCGTTCATATCTCGTAGACGATGGATCAGCGTCTTGTTCGATTGGATGGCTTCATCGTAATTCTTGAGCCTGTAATTGGGAATCATGATCATTAGTGTATGGCACGTGACATGCCAATGGAATCAATAATGTACCGGCGATAGGCATCCGTCATGAGCTCAAGTGCTTTGATTGTGTCACGATATGGGTTGTTGACCCTTATTAAGACCTCGTATCCGTCTTTGGCATATTTGATAGCTTTGCTGAGGTTGTTCTCTCGATGCTCCTCTTGCTTGGCCTCGCTCAGGTCGCTGTCAGGCTGATCAGCATACTCGATCAATAGCTCGGCACACTCGATCCCCAATCGTGCTGAAGAAATCTCGTTTCCTTCCGATCGCAGTCGCTTTGCTCGAAGCCTCATGTTGCGGATATCGACCTGAAGGCTCGACACATTGGTGTAGCCAATGGCATATGTCACTTTGGTTCCTCCCATTGGGAAAGGTGAAAGGGCAGTGAGGCGGAGTGCTTTCTTTGCTTGGTTCTTCGACTCATATTCATATACACCCTCCCCCACCCCACAGCAGCTGCCGACACATGGATGAGCACGGCTTTGAGACACGACTTCGACACTTGGAACATGTGCTAGCTGGTCGAGCCAACAGCATTCCACGCAACACCAAGACGACCCTGTTGAAGCGCATCGATGGCCTGAAAAAGGAGCTCCACAACGTATATCGATCCAACAAGTTGATGCACGACTTTGTCGACAAATGTAACAACAAAGCAACCAATTGTATCATATGATGGACGTCGTTATTGATGGGTGCACTGCATGTATTGTAGATGAGCCGCACGCAAAAGTTTTGGACCCAACCGATTCCTCGTTGGCCTTGGAGCGAGAACTGTTGACCACTGATACCAAGCTTGAACTGATTCTGGCAGCATACGATGATATGGAGCGTTTTGCATCACAGGTCAAGCAGGTGAAATCTTTAGAACATGTAGTGAGTGGATCAGAGTATGATGGTAAGCAAAGAGGGAAGAGAGAGAGCAAGTATGCATTATTCATGCAACACGAGCTGACATTGTTGTGGTAGCCCTGGATACATTGGGAGCAGAGCTACGACCACTTGAAGCGAAACATATGGAACAAACCAAGCAATTGGAGCAAATCACTCTTCAAGTCTCTCAAGCTATGGAAAGTTACAATGGCATTGTAAGTAACAATGGAAAAAAGTCCAGGGGGTCGAACTCAAGGGGCTGATTTGTACGCTTGTGTACGTAGATCAATACATTATCCGAGATATTTATTGCATGGGACGACATTTTGAATACCATGGAAGCACATGTATCAGCAATCGAGCGACAACGTCAATCTCAATGATGAATATACCTTTATATCTCAATAAAACAACACACCGACAGGCTGTAATTTATATGGAAGAGAAGGGGGGCTTTAGAGTAGAATCATTGTCAAATTCAATATACGTGGAAGCACACCTTGTAACATCATCACGTATTCTTAAACTTAATGTCTATGTAACATTGTTGTCTGCTGGCATGAAAGGAACAATGGAAGAGGATGCAAGGACATAGAAGTAACAATAAGCTATCACAAGCTATCGGTTGTTGTGAACGAGATAAGGGAGGCCGGATTTGGGCATATTAAATGACTAGCAAAGTTGGTAGGCATACATGCATGCGAGCAGCACCTTTCATTTTAATCAAAACTTGCATCTTTTTATCTTTCTTTCCTTTCTTTGTGTGTTTGTGTTGGAGCATGGTGCTGCTGCTAAAGGTAGACGGCAAGTACGAAAAAGGGCCAATTTACCATCCTCGACGTTTGATGGGACGTTTCAAAGCTCAAATCCTCTCTGGTACACTTTTGCTTATCTTGTTGACGTTTTTCATCTCTCGCCATTGGATCCACAAATCACCAGCGGTGTATTATCCTAAACAAGTTGACTGGAGCGGGTTGCCTGTTAAGGGTGCATTGGTGGTGCTCGCACGTGAGAATGAAATGCATGAAATACGCGCCACAATGCTTGATGTTGAAGAGCGATTCAATGACAAGCACAAGTACCCTTGGGTCATTTTGGGTGATCAGCCATTTTCTTTACGCTTCCAAGGATTTGTATCTAGTATGGCGCCTGGACGCGTTTATTTTGGACAAACACAAACTTGGCATGAGCCTTCATTTATCGATATCAAAAAGGTGGAGGAGACCATGTCGCAAATGGCAATCGAAGGCATCTATCGTGGAGAAAGTCTCAGTTGGCGTAAAATGGCAAGGTATGCAAAAAAGCGCTCACTCACCCTGCTTGACCGCCTCTAATGACCCTTACGGATCAAAGATACAATGCTGGCTTTATTGCGGATCATCCATTGCTTCAGGAAGCCGAATACTATTGGAAGGTGCAACCACGATCAAGATACCTGTGTGACATTAAAGAGGATCCTTTTGTCATGATGAAATCTCAGGGAAAGAAATTAGGTAAGTGCGTGTGGAGAAAGACAGCGTTAATTCATGTCATAGGCTGATGTTCTTTTTTGGGATAGCCTATGCCATTGCTATGGTCGAAGATGGGCGTACGATCCCAAGCTTGTGGACACACGTGAAAGAATTCATCGAAACGAACCCTGATAGCATCTTGCCGACATCCTCAACAATCCTTCCTTGGATGATGGATGATGCAGGAACGTTTAATGGAAATCATATATGGAACAATTTCATGATCATTTCCCTCGAGTTTCTCCGCTCCAAGGAGTATCGTGCATTCTTTGAATACATCGAACACACCGGTGGCTTCTTTTATGAGCGGTAAGCTAATAAGAGCAAATCATTATTGGAATCACAAAGGATACATTGGATGACTCATTGTGTGCTAGTTGGAGTGATGCACCGGTGCAAACCTTTGCAGCAGCCTTGTTTTTGAGGCGTGATCAAATCCATTTCATGCATGACCTTGGCTATTCCTATAGTGTGGGATTACAATGTCCAGCCGATTCATTGGTTGCAGCAGAGTTGCAATGTATTTGTGATCCCAGCGCAACATTCCGTGAGTATACCTCCTTGCTATTTACACGCAATAATGCTATCTTCTATACTGACATAAAAGTTTATCCCCGGTCAATAGCAGCTTTACCAGTACCCGTATCTCTTGATGTTCCCGGGGAGAGTAGGTAAAATAAAACGATGATGGACCCACAAAAATACACCCACACACATACACATGGTTGCACTTTTCATCTTTGCTGGTATCACATTCATGCAACATGTTACATAACTCGGGTGTATGTTCCATGACCATAGCCGCGGTTGAATGTAGCAATGGCGCATTAGCAAGAATTACCACAAATAGAGATGTATTTTGGCCTTGGGGATACATATTCCTTGTCTTAATCACACATGTTCATTGTCAAAGCAACAACGTATTATTGGTTCATGATGTCTACTATGGGACCTATGCAGCGATTCATGTCATACCCCAACGTGCAGCGGATTAATGAAAGTACCGCAATCCTGGTTGCTTAAGATTGTCACACGCATACGCTGGCACCACACATCATCTCGTGCTAAAGACCCAGACCACACAGGTATATGGATTTGTGGGATAAGCTCTACTACTGGATTTGAGCTTTCATTGTACAAAGCAGATGAAGGGCTGATTGGCTCTTTCTAGAAAAGGGAGCGTCCATGCTCATGCGTTATTGTGTCATGGCGCCTTTTGACAAGATGGATAAGCTCATAAGATTGATTGTGTGCGAACAAAGTCCCTGATCCCTCAGCATGCAGCTCATTTCGTTATTATGAAACAACCCGTTTAATATTACGGGCATGAATGGCTATATAGCTACCTACTTTTAATCCAAGTTTCAATGGAATACTAATATTACACTTAAAGTTGGCATTACGTTTCCATGACGGCACGCGAATGATCGGCTCGTTTATTGCCATAACCCGATGTTTGTTTTCTCACAAGCAAGGGAGGACAAGTAATTTAGATTGGAACCACAATTCTATCTGTATCTAAGGCCCGGGAACGGTGACAAGGGACAACCTCGCAACTTGGAGTAGCACGATAATATCCTTGAGCACGTTCTCAAGCGCCATGAAAGGTAGCGTATCGGTTCATGTCAATGCTGGTTTGTTCCGCAAATTCTTTGTCACCGGTTTCAGTAAGGTTAATGCTCCCTTACATGCACACGTCGCAAATAGATACAACTTGGTTGCTAGGCAACAATGATAAAGCTGCTATTGGATACGCTCATTTTCATTCAAACAAATGAAAAAACCAACTTCAGCTTATGATACGTGGTACTCGCCTTGTCATTTCCTTGTCATGTCACACAACCACTTTATCAGGAAGGTTTAAGGGCGTACCTGGCCAGACAAAGTTTAATGGGTCATTGGACAAGGTTTAATGTTGGATCTACTGATGTACGTGCAATTACGATTTCATATTCTAATGCATATTGTTTTTAGCGCTCTTATTGCTGTTGTAGTAGTCGTCATATGTAGAATAGCTGTCGGGTTTGTGGTTGCCATGACGACGCTGGTTAGCAGGATAATGGATTTGTGATTACCTAAAGCATTCATGAGAGGCTCTAGACCACCATGTTTACTCCGAATAATGTTATTGCGCTGTTGGGGGGAGTAGTCAATGGATTTCATACATTGAGACAATCGGGCCGCCTTATAGGACGAACGAGATGTCAGGCCATACTTTGGGTGAATGGTATTTCGAAAAACGGTTAGTGTAAAAAGATGCCATACTTGTTGTGTGTACAATGTGTGGAACCCTTACCTTTGTGTGAATGGCTGTTTTGAAAGCCGGCTAGCCACGGGGATTGTTCACCTCATCCTATTTGGTAAAACACCGCTGTCTCCAGGTAATGGGATGTATGAGTGAGCTATATGGTGACTAATCATGCACATACAATGTTGCTCGAATTGCTTTATAAAGATAATTGGAAGGGGTAAAAGAGTAAAACAAATGCCATGCGCTCGATAAGGGGTCGCGTGGCACGATCGACAGGGGCAACAACAAGGTGTTGATCGTGTGGTCTAAAAAACACAAAAAGTCGAGGGGCAGTGGTAAACTACGAGCGGCGATAACAACAGCGGCGATCATTTTTGTTTCAGCGACGTTCAGGTTACTCGAAGGCTGGAAGGTTTCATTAATGTTTGCGCACAAAGACTGTTCCATTAACTCGGAAGAAGACCGGTTCGGGCAACTGTCAATTAACATCACAAGGCATACATGGCATTTTTCTGCTTTATTACGCCGCCAAATTGTGCTACGTTATGGTGTTTCGGTCACCCCCAACGAAGCTGAATACATTACTTATATCCATCTATTCATTGCTGCTCTAGAATAACCTCACTTTCTTTTTGCTTTCATTTTCTTTTTGCATTCTGTGAATGCACGCATTATCGGATTCATTCACTTCATAGATCCATTCGTGTTATACAATGAATCAACATCCGGCTGTGCCAGGATCCCAGTCCCATCCTTCCAATATTATCACCAATGCACCCATCATGGGCAACAATAGTCATGCTGGCATGACCCAAAGTGCTATGCCAGTACACCCTGCCGATTTTACATTTTTGCCAGCATCCAATTATCACGCACATCATCCTATGTATCAATATCCAACATCTTCTTATGTCCCTGGAGATTCACAACAACCATCACCAGACGATGTTTTGAATCCACAACCATTTTCTCAACACCAGCAACAGCAACAACAACAACATGGTCAAAGTCAGCAGCAGCCATCGACTACAGTTGAAAGTACACCGCCTCCACGTAAACGTACTCGTGCAACACCTGAACAACTTGCTGTCTTAGAAAAGACATTTAGTGTCAACCCCTCACCCAATAATCGCGTGCGAGAGCAACTTTCGCGTGAATTGGGAATGTCTGAGCGCTCGATCCAGATCTGGTTCCAGAACCGTCGAGCCAAAGTGAAGAATATGGCTAAACGATCATCATTGCTTCATGATGAAACTATACGCATGCAATATTATGCTGCCTCTGCAGCTGCAGCAGCATGCCAAGCAGCAGCATTTCATTATCAACAAACAGCTCCAGATGGCACATTGACTACAAACCCTGATTTGTATTACTATTACTACTATTATTATTACAATCAGCAGCAACAAAGTAAGCAACAACAGCAACAAAGTAAGCAACAACAGCAACAATATCAACAAGGCAACAGCTGGTTCTGTCCACCTCCTCCACCACCACCTCCTCCTTCATCTTCTATATCAGCTATGGCTTCCATGTATTCTTCAAGTAATGGTGCACCACCTCCGCCAATGCCTTTGCAATCAAATCCACCTCCACCACCTCCACCTCCTCCTATGCCAATGGGAGCAGGTAATGAAATGTGGTCAGCGTCTGTGACTACTCCACCATCATCTTCAGCATCATCACCTACAACACCAGCATCCGATGTATCACGTTCAAGAAGCGGGATGAATGAAAATGCATCCACACCTATTAGCAATCGTATGCGTGCACATTCACTTGGGCCATATCCTCCTCCACCACGTAGACCCATTGTACGCCATGGATCAATGGAAGCTGTCCCTGTGATTGGTCAACATTATTATCGTAGCAGAAGCTATACATCACCTGCTGGGCAGGCATTTTGGCCTAATGTTGGGCAACAACAACAACAGCAGCAGCCAATGTATATACAAACAGGTAACACACATAATGACACCATGGCTTGGTCACATGTTGCATGTGCACTGACATTGCCTTTTTCAGGGACACCCATGTCAGTCGAAGAAGAGCCACCCCATCGATTCTCAGCTGAAGCGTTACAAATTGGAACGTGGCGACGAGTTAGCTTACAGCCCCAAGATTTGGTGTGTCATAGTGATTGTGAACGTCGCATGATGATTTGGTTGATTCAAGATGGCCAACAGCGATTCAAGATTGAATTCGGCTTTGATGCTGTACTACAAATACGACTTGATCCATTGCAAGAACGGCTTGGATGGGCAAGGCTTGAGCTGCGCGTGGCACAACCTGAAGCAATTGAATTTTATATGGAAGGTGCCACTGGATGGACACAATGCCGTGACTTTACTCAAGATCGTCAAGCTACGAATGTTGCTGTGCATCAACTTGATGGTCCTGCTCTTGCATTACGTGCTGAATTACATCGTCTCACGCAAAGTGATCCTCATTTGGAATCAATTCATGTTACGCCGACGAATGACATGTTACCACCAACTCAACAACAACAACAACAGCCGACATCATCTATTGATCCACGTTGTTTATCTGTGGAATGTCGTGATACCACACCTGGTGGTGATGTGATGATGGGAATGGGATCCACAAGTAGTATATCCCCTACATCGCAGCAAAAGCCCGATGGCGAAAGTATACAAGAAGAGTCGATGTTATCATTGCTAGGTGAGACAAGCAAGGAGCAAAGCAACGTGGTGAGCAGCGACACGAGCCATGCAGAGGACCTCTTGCTCTTTCAAGCGATTGAATAGGATGTTTGCACGAGGTTAATGGTACCCTGATTGGTGCGTAGTCTCAAAACTCAAATAAAAAAATAGAGCACGCGATTTGCTTAAAAGGCTCTCTCTGGAAAATTTGCTCCTCACTTTTCTTTAACCCCCCCTCGTCCGGTATCCTACCCTAACCTTGGAACTATCGGTCTCATTACACCCCATCTATCGTCTACATTATGAGAGAAATCATTTCTATTCACGTTGGTCAAGCTGGTGTCCAGATTGGTAACAGGTACTCTTCACATTGCGCGTGCATCTCGCGTGCTCTTCCTCTCCCATCTCGCGTACTTATCATATCACTTTTATAGCTGCTGGGAGCTTTACTGCTTGGAACATGGTATTCAGCCCGATGGTCACATTCCTCAAGAGCTCGACACTGGTGACAACTCTTTCGACACCTTCTTCAGTGAAACCAGCGCTGGCAAGCATGTGCCTCGCACCGTCTTTGTTGATTTGGAACCCACTGTTGTCGATGAAGTTCGCACCGGCACTTACCGCAGCTTGTTCCATCCTGGTAAGTCGATTCAAAAACACCTTTCGGGATATATTTTTCTCATCACCTTTGATATGTATGTATGTGTATATAGAACAATTGATCACTGGCAAGGAGGATGCTGCTAACAACTATGCTCGTGGTCACTACACCGTTGGCAAGGAGCTCGTTGACTCTGTGTTGGATCGTATTCGCAAGTTGTCTGATAACTGCAGTGGTCTTCAAGGTTTCCTTGTTTTCCATTCCTTCGGTGGTGGTACTGGTTCCGGTTTTGGTGCCTTGCTTTTGGAGCGCCTTTCCCTTGATTATGGCAAAAAGTCCAAGCTTGAGTTCTCTGTGTATCCTGCTCCTCAAGTAGCCACCTCCGTTGTTGAGCCTTACAACTCCATTCTTACCACTCACACCACTCTTGAACATTCCGATGTCTCTTTCATGGTGGATAACGAGGCCATTTATGACATTTGCCGTCGTAACTTGGATATCGAGCGTCCTTCGTACCTCAACTTGAACCGTCTCATTGCTCAAGTCGTCTCTTCCATCACTGCTTCTCTCCGCTTTGATGGCTCCTTGAATGTGGATTTGAATGAGTTCCAAACCAACTTGGTGCCCTACCCCCGTATTCACTTTCCTTTGGTGACTTACGCCCCCATCATCTCTGCTGCCAAGGCCTACCATGAACAACTCTCGGTTCAGGAGATCACCAGTGCTTGCTTTGAGCCCAACAACCAAATGGTCAAGTGTGATCCTCGTCATGGCAAGTACATGTCTTGCTGCTTGCTTTATCGTGGTGATGTTGTCCCCAAGGATACCAACGCTGCCATTGCCAACATCAAGACCAAGCGTACCATCCAATTTGTTGACTGGTGCCCTACCGGCTTCAAGGTTGGTATCAATTGCCGTCCTCCTGCATCTGTCCCTGGCGGTGATTTGGCCAATGTTCAACGTGCCCTCTGCATGCTTAGCAACACCACTGCTATTGCTGAAGCTTGGGCTCGTCTTGATCACAAGTTCGATCTCATGTATGCTAAGCGTGCCTTTGTTCACTGGTATGTCGGTGAAGGTATGGAAGAAGGTGAATTCTCGGAAGCTCGGTAAGTTTTTTTATCCTCTTTTTTACCCTGCATACATTCTTCTTTGACTCACACGCATTGCTTTTATAGTGAGGATTTGGCTGCCCTTGAGAAGGATTATGAAGAAGTCGGCTCTGACTCGCTCGGCGATTCCGAGATGGAGGAAGCCGAGGAATACTAGATATTACCCTCCGCATCTTTTATCACTCAATAATAAATCGTGGCTCTCGCTTAATACTACTTGTATCTACACAATATCACAGTTTTCTTTATGCAAACATTCTTTATAAACAAAGATGCAGCATGCGATAACGCACATAGATCTCAAGAAAGGAAAAGCATGCATATCTTGAGGGGTTTTGGGGAGACAAGGAGGTAAACAAGGGAGCAAATCATTGTAAATATTTGGCATGTCCCATCTTAAAGACCATGAAAACATGGTAACAGGGAGGAGACAGTGATCACTTGTTTCATTTTATGTCTATGTAGCAAAATGTGCAGCCTTGTTTACTTTGCGACGCTTGTCGCTTTCCATGTCATTGATCGATCAAGTCGGAAATCCATTCCTGGATGTGTGGTTTCTCCCCTTTTGTGGTTTTGGTAGCTTTTGTTGCTTTTTTCAAACTATCCCGTTAAAGCAATGGAGAGATGTGTGCATGTAAATGTGAACCGTTATATCATTCCCATGCGGGTAATCCAACTTCTCAGTGCATATTAGCTACATCAAAAGGGACATGACATGTATATGGAAGTGATTAGGTTTACCCTATTAAAGAACCAAATACTTACAATGACAACAAGGAAAATGGAAGTACTAGAATGACAATGAAACCTTCTCGATCATCACAAATACCAGCACATGGATCGTTCACAAAGCGGACTCTCGGCCATGATACTCACCAAGGTCTTTTGAAGGTGTCAACAACCAAAGAGTGATATGATGGAAAGAAAGAGATGTATGGGAGAAAGGTGATGGATGACAGCATCCATCTTGTTTATATGCAAGATGGGTGTAGGTATTTCTGTGACCACAAAGAGTAATACATAAAACGCCTGTTGAGAATGGTGATGAGCTAACGGATTGATGGGGAGCCTTTACAGAGAGCCTTGGTGTGATTGAATGTGCATGCATAGATCAGGATCTGAGATAGTAGACAAAGTGGCAACTTACATCATCTAAGAGTGATGTTAAATGCATTTGATCCATGAAAAAACTGGTTGCCGCAAAGATTCATATGTACGTAATATCGAGCACGAGCGTTCGTTCACTCTTCTCAACGCATCATCATGCACAAAAGTAGAGTACAACAAAATCCTGGAGAAAAAAGCCATGTGATGGGTAACGATAGCACCAGCACACCGAGCTAAATCACCCCATGATAACCTCGTCGACATCAATAGCAGTAAATGAAGGGCCTTTTCACCTCCAATACAGACGTTGTCAAATACCCGGGGGCAATTGAAGCTTCTGATGGAATTGAGCAGAATCATGAAAGGAATAAAATGTGAGATACAAAAAGGATGCTGGATTGTTAGCAGTGATTTTCCAATAAGCAATCCACCAAAGGCAGCTTACTTGTGTGACCCAAAGAGGCCACTGATGGTATCACATAGACAAACTCACTACAAAGCGTGATGGTCATCCGCTACATGCATAGCACTGGAGCCATTGAGTGTTCCCAAGCAACCGATCCAATACCTTGGATACCATGGTATCCAAGGTATGGGACTTTTGCTATTTGCACCACCAGGTTTTTGCACCATTCCAGATTTAGCCCCGACGGCTCAAGTGTAGCAGGCCTCCATATGTGTATTACCAACTTCAGGTCGTGCTCCCATGTACACATTTTACCAAAGCAAGAGGTCCTTCATGTACCAATTTTCGTGTAAAGAGCTGTCATGATTGATTAAAGCGGATGAAACAGAAGAATGCATGCTTGCAGTTACGAGCATTGCCAATGGTTACCAATGAAGACTTATTCCAGGCTATCCCCGTTGTGTCAGACCAATGATGATGTATTGATGATTTCCTATTTCATAATGTCACCGCAAAATGGTTCATTATTGCTTAAGTACTCAACAAACAATGAACGCATCAATGAATACAAAATCAACGGTGAGGTTGATACTAGTTGTGCAATATTACTACTTATCAGACGATTCACATTTCTGGATCAAAAGAGTCGGGTTATCCCATTCGGCTGGACACAAATTGTTGGTGGTTATGTATGTGTGCAACGAAAACATCATCACCACCACCATCATGTAATCTCTCTTTTAATCCATTTCAACCTGCTGATGACTATAATAGCTATTCAACATTGGTATATTGATGGAGAGCTTAATTACATCCATCAACCAGCAAGACACACGTGGTTGTCAATAGCGAGTGAATTTACATCGGTGAAGGACAAATGAACTTGATTTAGGTGATGATAGTGATCCATCTCTCTTCTTCTTTACGCATTCTCCTCCTGATTCCGTGCACTTTCAACATGAAGATGATACTTTGGTTCTTTTTAACAAGGCACACCTTTAGTCATAGATGCATGCTGCAAAATAGTATACGCGCCACAAACACTTAAATATACGCGATCTTTCGCAGCGGTAGCACTGGCAGACAAACCCAAAGTCCGCAGGGGCCATCCAATTTAAACTTTAGGATCACACTTGCCGCCCTTGTATCCTCGGTATCTCTTTTGCTCTCTTCCACTTTTCCAGTAAAAAGTGAGTCTTCCCCTAATAGCTTGCACTTCATTTCACTTTTATCGTGTTTATTATTGAACAGCAACTGATTCTATACATTAGGAACACAACATGGTCGCCATCAAGTTGCAGAAAGAAGAAAACCGTAAAGCCTTTCTTGACGTCTTCCCAACCCTCGCTGAAGAGGTCCTTGCCGAGCTTCGCAAGTACAACATGCCTGAAGACGCTTATAACTGGACAAAGCAGGTACTATTCTCATCATCTCGATTCCCAATTGCAAAAGAGTCTGACATGTCATTTGCCCTTTTCCCCACTCTATTAGAATCTGGAATACAACGTTCCTGGTGGTAAGTGAGGAGTGCGTGGTTTTTGAGGGATAAAGCCAATGCTCGGGCATGTGTGTGGATACATCTTACTGACAATATGGGTTACTATAGGCAAATTGAACCGTGGCCTCTCGGTTGTCGATACCATCCGCATTCTCAAGGGCGATGCAGTCACTGACGATGATATCTTCAAGGCTACTGTTCTCGGTTGGCTCGTTGAATTCGTATGTTTTATTGATTGGCTACATGGGAAATGTGAATAAGGAGGAGAATGACAAGGACTTGGATATGCTAATTCGTTCTTTCAACATGCAGCTTCAAGCCTTCTTCCTTGTTTCCGATGATATCATGGACGCCTCGATCACTCGTCGTGGACAGCCTTGTTGGTACCGCAAGGATGGTGTTGGTATGGTTGCCATCAACGATGCCTTCATCCTCGAATCTTGCATCTACATTTTCCTCAAGAAGTATTTCAAATCTACCGATTACTACATTGATCTTGTTGAATTGTTCCACGAGGTATGTATAATTAAGGCGTGCATGGTTTTGTACGAGGGGGGTGGATTTTTCCTTTATTCAATGGGTAAAGAGAAAGATGGTAACAAAGACGTTGATTGATCTGGGAACTGATGACATCTGTACTATAGGTCACATTCCAAACTGAGTTGGGCCAATTGTGCGATTTGATTACTGCACCCGAAGACAACGTTGACTTGAACAAGTTTTCCATTGCCAAGTAAGGTTCAAACTCTAAAACAGGTTATCACGCATACTCACAAATAATCCTGCAGGCACCATTTCATTGTCGTTTACAAGACTGCTTACTATTCCTTCTATCTCCCAGTGGCTTTGGCTATGCACATGGTAAGTAATGACAAGGATAGGTCGTGAATGATATTGATAAAGTGTGGGCTTTGTTCAATCTAGGCTGGTGTCAAGAACGAGACCGCTTTCCAAAAAGCCCAGGACATCTTGATTCCTCTTGGTGAATATTTCCAAGTTCAGGATGATTATCTCGACTGCTATGGCGATCCCGCCTTTATTGGAAAGATCGGCACTGATATTCAGGATAACAAGTGCAGCTGGTTGATCAATCAAGCCCTTGCCAAGGCTAACTCTGAACAACGCAAAATTCTCGATGTAAGTTTGTTCCCCGATACACATACAGCCACTTGACTCACATGGTATGCTGAATCCGATAGGAAAACTATGGCAAGAAGGATGCTGCTGCTGAAGCCAAGATCAAGGATTTGTACCGCGAGATGGATATTGAGGGTCTTTACAAGGCATACGAAGAGGAGTCGTACAAGAAGATCTCGGGCTTGATTGGTGAGCTCGACGAAAGTGTTGGTGTCAAGAAGGCGGTGTTTACCGAATTCATGGACAAGATCTACAAGCGCACAAAATAGAGTTTTTTCCTTCTCTCATCTTGTAATTTGCATTCCCTTCCATAATAGCCTAAGCTTCTAATACACATTATATACATCGTCTCGAAGGAAAAAGGGGAGGGGTAATGTGGGCTTGATGATTCATAGCTGGTATGTAAGTGCTGGCTGGAGGGGCACATCATCACCGCCGATGCACGTACAGCTTCAAATTTATATAATGAAATGTATGTTCTTTATTGAGACAATGTTGATCAGCATGGTCAAGAGCACCTTGTGTGAAAGTTTCAGGTTCGAGAGGGGCAATCACAATGTCAAAGTTTGATGTACAGTGTACATGCATTTGTAGGGCAGCGTATGACCTTTTTAATTTCCACCTTCCTCCCATTCTCAACTGTTGGCCCCATTCAAGTATACAACTACCACCTGCGAACGATTGTCCTGCTTCAACCCATCATGTCAACCCTACGATTGCCTTGATCCGATTGCCTTGATCCGATTGCCTTTGACTCAATGGCAGGCCCATGGCGTGTGCACCCTCACTACAACACCCGGGGCTCTTGACATCTTCACATTCTGTTGTACAATCCTCGACCACAATCAAACGTAATAGCAGTCGCTATTAGCAAGGTCTTTACTTCATTGTCTCAAACAGCATTCACAACATTGTCACTCTATTGCAACACACGTTCTTGCACACCCCTCTGCCACCACCAAACGTAACAGCAGCTGCCATTAGGAAGGTCTTTACTCGATGGTCTCAAGTTACTTGCAGCAAACTTGCTTTGGTATATACGAATTCCAATGGATGATGCTTTATCAGATATCAAATCCACGGCAATGCACGCAATCTTCACCTGGTTGAGCTACGATGGAAAATGACCAAGAAAGAGGCAGACCAACAGCAGGATGGAAAAGGAAGCATATCAGCAGCGATCACATGATGGTACTTTCTTATGGACTTACAGTGGTTATGGTGGATGGAGGATGAAAACAAGTGGAATGATGAGAAATCCAGGAATGCTGCTTTGCTTACTTGGCGCGTCGTCAGCAGGAACGATGGATCGTGTCACGTGGATCCCGCTGAGAATGACGATGGATGGGATAGAATCGACGAAGGGTGTTGTACAGCCATGGATGATATTGGAGTACTCGATTCAATGCATGCAGCAGCTATTTCGCAACGTGGATGAAGGCTGTTTATGACGGCACCCACCAAGAACACAATGACACAATGATCCCTATCCACTCTATGTGATTCACCCGTATCTTATTCAGTCCCAATGCTGTTGCTATCATATTTACTTTATAAACATTCACACTACCACGTCTATTCTTCGACTGTTCATCGAATGAGGATTGGGTTCAAAATAATGTTGAGAAGGGTATCGTGCTATCAGCTCATTTGTGCGAGATGTGGATCACTTGGTTGGTTTCTGGATTGAAAGGGGAATACAAGTTTGAAGGTCGCGAGCGAGAGTGGATCATCTACATCATCGTATCAAGATGTTTTTTGTTCCTTTGTCACAACAACATTGTCACATCACTACATAAAACTTCCTAGTTCACATGCTGATAGTCGAAAGATAATAGTACTCTTGTATTGCAAAGATACTAAATTCGAGAGTGAAGATGCTCAAGATAGTGCCTGCTATTATTACCTAAGAAGCTTGGCTCATTGTAAGCTTAATTCATTATGCTCAAGAAAGAGTGAGCTGTGATACAATGTGATATAGAGGACATGGACATGCCATGCTTACCTATGCCCATATTTCAACTAACGCCATCTGATGCAACCTTACATAAGAACGAACCATTTCATACGAGCTATCATAGGCGGACATGACTATAGGATTATAGGGAAAAGCATCCATTATGCACTTATCCACCAATAGCATTACCCTTGAAGTCCCGACTTTTTTTTTTGCTCTGTTACACAAAGAAGTCCATCTGCATCTTGGCTCTAGTATGGTGGTGTTTGATATGGAACCAAGACCACCTATCATATAGCATCACACTTACAGCATATGCTAAAACATGACTTTCTCTAAATTTTTACAATCAAACGTGAGTCTTTGATAGCACAATGCTCGGCGGGGTCAAAGAGATCTTGTTCAGAGTTGATCGTGGCCAATCCCAGATTCCCGCAATGTCGCTACCAGCTGAAGCTGGATCGGAGAGTCGACCTCTTGAAGAACTTTCTTCGCGGCAAAAAATGTTTTTGGAGCTGAATTTGCGACATTGAACGTAGAACTTTCACACAAGGTGCTGTTGGCAAGCCAGGCCATTCTTTCTATTCAAAACCCCACGTTTTCATTATAAAAGTTTAGAATACAGTACCTTCTTATTTGCCAGCTTTCGATGCTATGAAATTAGTCTTTATTCTGTTATCAAGTAAGTGGACCCTGGCAGCCGCAAAAGTGCAGAGGTCGTGTTGTATAACACAGCTACGTTTGCATGAATGGAAGGGTCAATGTATAATTTACTTTATGGATCATCTAAATTGAGCGTAGCAAGCACTAGCTAACAACCACTTTTATCCAATCATCATTGTTGCGAGATCCTGCATGGGGGTGGCAATCACACCACTCCAGACTTATTCATTCCGCGATTAAGAAATGCGATTGATCGGCTTCGATTGGCTGGAGCTGCAGTCAAGAGATTACATCACTCGGACATGGCACGCGCTTTCGTGCAGCTCAGCTTCGACTAAATGTATGTGAGCATGCTCAACCAAATCAGCTCAGTTGGCTTCTGCACAATGTGGAAATGTCTAGGACTGGGCATCTCCTGCCTACAATAGAATGCACAAAGTTGGGAATGCACAAAAGTAGCTATTAGCTGCCAATGTATGACATAAAGTAAGTTGCGGCACTTTCATGCATTGTCAGAATCTGACTTTTTAGCTGAGTTACCCAAAGTCCTTCTGCATCTTTTGCTCTATTATGATACTTTACTTCATTAAACGGGAACCCACGCCCCCTCCTGCAGCATCACGCTGCCCACGAGCGCCGAGTGTCTGTTTCTCAAACTTCACAATCAAACGTCAGGTCTTTAATAGATCAACGTGCTTATCGAGTCAAAGGAATCTTGTGTCAGTATGAAGTTCATCGTGGACGATCCAGATTTCGCAATGTCGCCACCAGCCAAACTGGATCTGGGGTCGACCTCTTCAACGACGATAATCTATTTTTTGGGCTGTTTGCAGTGAACGCGAAACTTTCACACAAAGTGCTGTTATTGAAGCCGAGCCCATTTCTCTAATAAACACATTCATTGTAAAGTTTGGAGATACGACTTTTATGTTTCTCGTATGATGCTATATGAAAGAGTAGTCTTCTGTTCATTGTAAAGTAGGTGGACCCCTGGCAGAGCAAAGATGCAGAAGGACATCTTGGGCAACTCCAGCTAAAAATGGGAGCTTCAAGGACAATGCCACCAAAAGTACACCAACCCTCACTTTTATATCATACATGCGCTAATAGCCACTTTTATGCATTCAGCACGGCCATTCTATTGCTTAGTGAACGTGCTCCTGCTCTAGACATTCATTTCCACCAATTCACTTTCATAGGTGAAAAATCCGAGCATTTGAATTGTGATTACCTTCACCTAGACTCCATCAGTTGGCTACATCAGCATCAACTATATCCGGAAGTGATATAATCTGCCTGCGGCCGTGCAACAATCAAATCCTTCCGTCAATACGCAATAAAGTGAAAGGCACGCTGTTCCGCTACACAGAGCGGGATCTCACTGCTGGGTAGATAAAAATAATTGTGCTAACAATACATGTATTCCTAGATCCATAAAGCAATGCCATTGACCCTTCCATTCATACAAACATAACATGTGCACAACACAGCCTCCCACACATCTTTGCGCTGTAAAATCCTGCACAGCAATGAACAAGAACCACTCTTCATATAGCATCAGACTTCTTATAAAAGGTGCTGTATCTCTAAACTTTGCGAGTAGGGCAATGGAATTTTGGGCGGCGCAGCAGGCTCGCTTGGCCAACAACGCTTGCCCATGTGAAAGTTTGCACATTATCGCAGCTGGCCCCAAAAATGTACAGTCATCGAAAAACTCAAGAGAGGTCATTTTCAGATCAGATTTGGCTGTGCTTGTGTGCAAAATCTAGGGACTTGGCGCATTAAGCGAGCAGCTGCCGGGGCTCGCTGAGCCGCCAGCCGTGCTTATCAAAACTCCTGATGTAAATTTAGGGCCCCATTTTTATATTTTATATGCTGTAAGTAGCGTTGCTTTTATGAAAAGGAGTTTTGTTCAATGTAAGTAGTAAGACTGTCTGAAGGCCAAAGTACAGAGGACGTGTTATGCAGCAGCTTGAGTCAGTAGCTTTAGGCGGTAAAATGTATACACTATTTTGAAGGAATAGCTCCTAAATACGGAAATCCTCCCAGCTACCTTTGTTGCCCAATCCAATGCATACGAACGATTGTGCTTGGCCAGCGTACCCATCATTCAGCTTTCTTGATCCGGGAGATTTGACTGAACAACGCTCACTTTTGATATCATTCAAGGCATCAGGAAAATCTGTGCGTTCCACTCCTTCCTCTGGCTTTATTTTCTCTTCCTCCATTCAGCGCTGGCCCATTCAAGTATACAACTACCGCAGGAGCGGTGAAAATACTGTTTCGGCCATCATGTCAGCCTTTCGGCTGTCGCGATCGGTGTCGTTGACTGGATAAGCGAAGTTCATGGGCGTGTGCATCACCAGCACCTGATCGCGGCACTTCACGTTCTCTTGCGCTCCTCACCGCAGCAAATCATGGCGTTCATTCAGCAGTTACAACTGGCAAGGCAGCTGTTCTCGATCAGCACATCCATACACGAAAACGCTTGTCTGGCATTTTCCGCTGGACGCAGCAGATTAGCCGCATTGTATGGAAACGGCTTTATTTACGTGTAGCCATTTCAATACAATCAATTCCTATGATGGATGGATATGAGTACGGAATGGATACATGGAATGGAAAGGATCTGGGTATGTACAATGCGTGGAAAGAGTACTGGCAATGGCTGACTTGGTGCTACAGTATCATTCTGAACGATTGGGTGCGTACAATTTATGTACTTCCACATCCACGCAGCAGCTACTATCGTCATCCTTTGTACGGCTATCAGTAATGTGCGGCAAATCATCATCCAAATTTATGATTTGACAAGCCATGCACATATAATTCGCCATCACCTTTACATGCCGCCCAAAGGATAAGATATCTTCCTCCCACATTGGAGCAGCTCGTTGTACCTCTCGGGTTATCTCTTATAGATGATGATTCATGATTTACTTTTTACGAATACAGTTTGTATTTGTCAACCATTTCTGAAGTTGCTACAGCCGTAAAAGATCATCTTTACAGGTTGGACCTCGTTGTGTAATAGCAGGGATTAGATGCATTTGTATCATAGAAACCACAGCAATGCATGTG